AAATTTATTTTACCACAGTATTGTCGATGGAGGTTCCGCACTGGCTTGCTGCTCCTGATGGCGATTGTATTTAACTTTCATCTTGCTTTACACTTGTTTTAACAGCTAAATGTATTTTTAAGTCTATTTAATTCCTTCATGTCATTTTCTTCCACATTTCTGGGGCTGGATCGTGGGGGCAGCAGTCTCAGGAGAGAACCCAAGACGCACCAGACACTTCCTCCTGCTCCTCATGGGGGGATCCTGGGGCATTTCTGGCCAGCCAAGAGACATAGTCCCTCCAGCATGTCCTGGGTCTTCTCCGAGGCCTCCTCCCGGTGAGACATGCCTGGAACGCTTCCCTAGGTAGGCGTCCAGGAGGCAAACAAAACAGTTGCCCGAGCCACCTCAGCTGGCTAATTTCAATGTGGATGAGCAGCGGCTCTACTCCGAGTTCATCCACCTTATCTATAAGTGTGTGCCCTGCCACATGAGTGCCACTAGGAGGGTGGGGGAGGGGGATATTAGTAGAGGCCCAAACACAATGGTCATGCTGGAAAATGACTAGCTAAAACCAGCTAAAACTAACTTGACCAGCCTGGTTTAAGCTAGGCATAGCTGGTTTTGGGCTGGTTTTCCAGGCTGGTTTTAGCTGGTCATCTTCCAACCTGACCAGCTAAGACCAGGCTGGAAATGGCTGGAAACCAGCCTGGAAATGGCCAAAACCCCTCTAAAACCAGGCTGGTCAACCAGCTAAAAATAATCCACCATCCTAGGCTGGTTTAAGTTGTAGTTTTCAGCAGGGGTTGGACTGGTTATAAGGTAACTGCTACTAGCGTATTTGGACTTATTGCTAGGTAGTTGTTTAAGTGTTTTGACTGGCTGCTAAGCAGTTTCTAGAGTTGGGTCGCTTTGTGTCTGTTTTGGCTGGTTGCTAGGTTGTTCTAAGGTGCTTTTGTGTGTTTTGATTGCTGAGTAATTTATTCAACCCAGGCTCATTCTGAAAACGTAGTCTCTAGGACGTTTCTGGAGACCGCGAAATACGTCCTGGGAGGTACGTATTTTTGCAGTTTTTGTTTTCGCGAATCCACGAGAGGCTGCTGTGTGCGAGTTTTCATATCTCAAATTTCTCTTGCAAGTGCCGTTCGCGCCCGCTGTTCTTGAGTAAACCTACCAGAGGTGCTGTCGAGCAACCGTCTCTCTGACTGACTGAATGAGTGGACGACTGACTGGCCGGCCGACCCATCGACTGACCCACCCACTTACTTCCCTAAACCCAACCAACGATTTACAAAAACCGTCCCTCGTCTGATTTTTACCATGTTTTCGGATTTTACCACTTTCTCACCCTGTTATTCATTCGTTCATTTTATTTTTTGGATTCTGTTTTTGTCTTACCTTAATTCTGGAACCGCTCTTCCCCGAACTCCAACCCCGTCATCGTGGTAAACTCCTCTCTGCCACTCAAGGCCGCCGACGTACACGACAAGCTAACTACACAAACTGGTTGCGGCGGGAAAGCCCTCCACACGGAGGTAAGCGGTCAGTCTGTAAGCATGAAAAGGAACGGCGTCACACCGCCCCGTAGCGTTCGCTTAAAAAAATTAAATGCAGCCATACGTACCTCCAGCTACATAATTTGCTGTCTCCAGAAACGTCCACAAGACTACGTTTTCAGAACGAGACTGTGTTGAATTTACTTATTAATTTTTTTTGTAGTGGTTCCTGGGAAGTTACTAGATCGCTTTGGATTGACTGGTTGCCAGGTAGTTGGTAGACTGTTTTGGTCAATTGCTAGGTAGCTGTGAGTAGTTTCTAAGGCATGGTTTGAATAGTTGGTAGACACTTTCTAGAGTGCTTTTAAATGGTAACTTGATAATAATAAAGTACTTTGGCTGCGTACTTTAGAGTGTTTTGATTTGGAAAAAGGTTTAAATGGCGTTAATTCAATAAAATGCCATTGATTTTTCGGATATCTAGTAAGTAATGCGCTGTAATTTACACCATGAAGCCTTAAATGTCTGACATCATGGGAACTCATATAAATATACAATAAATACATTGTCTACACACCATTAAGGATGTCCTCGGGTTTTCTAATGTTTACACTGGCTTTCAGCAGTGTGTGTTGCATTTGCATTTAATGTGTTCAAGTCTGGGAAAACACACGTCACAAGCCAAATATAACATATGCGATGCATTTTACAAGACTGTCATTAGAGGGAAAATAAACAAGAAAAATGACCCGTGCAAAATATAGATGAAGTGCACGCCCCTGACAATATGCAGAACTGTTCATAATATGTCCAAAAATGATATATAAATATAAATCTAATGATATAACAGTCCAATTGTTTTTGCTGTTTTCTTGCTTTAGACATCATGCTGATTCATTCTGACAGTAGATGCATTGTCAGGAGCCAGACGGACTGGACTGATGTGCATTCCTCTCATAAATGGCTTTATGCAGTAAGTTGGCAGAACTTTATAACACCTGTCAATCATTTTCTTGGCAAGAACACAAAAGAGAAAGAGAAAAAATGCCTCTGAGAGTTTTCCACTTAGCAAAACAACACTCGACTTTACCAGTTGAAAATGATTAAAATGTTACGCATGTTTCAATGTGTTTACTGCGCTCTTAACAGTTAAAACTATATAGCTCCTAATTACTCTAGCATGCCTTCACTGGATTCATTAAAATGTCATAGTTTTACTATTAGGATTTTGCATGTGTTTAAATATTAATAATAAACTTAAAAATGAATAAAAATAAAAGATTATATTTAAAACTAAATTCAAAATATTCTTAGAATTCATTCATTCATTTTCTTGTCGGCTTAGTCCATTTATTAATCCGTGGTCGCCACAGCGGAATGAACCGCCAACTTATCCTGCACTTTTTTACGCAGCGGATGCCCTTCCAACCAAAACCCATCTCTGGGAAACATCCACACACACACACACACACACTCATACACTACGGACAATTTAGCCTACCCAATTCACCTGTACCGCATGTCTTTGGACTGTGGGGGAAACCCACGCGAAGGCTGGGAGAACATGCAAACTCCACACAGAAACGCCAACTGAGCCGTGGTTTGAATGAGCGACCCAGCGACCTTCTTGCTGTAAGCTGACAGCACTACCTACTGCACCATTGTGTCACCTATTCTTATAATACATGTTATAAAATCTTCTAATATTATTGTTAGCGTGATCTATTATGGCTAGATGTAGAACAGTCACAATTCAGTTAGTTTTTAGTTAAATGTAATTATTAATTTAGAATAATCTACTTTTTATAAATACAAAAACCTAATTTCTTCCTTTATGTTTGACTAAGAAACCTGCATCACACTAATACAATAATATAATAATATGCTTTTATACACTAATGGGCACTTTGTTCGGTACATTTGCTTGTTAACGCAAATTTTTAATCAGCCAATCACACGGTAGCAACTCAATGCATTTAGGCATGTAGACATGGTCAGGATGACCTGCTGCACCGAGCATCAGAATGGGGAAGAAAGGTGATTTAAGTGACTTTAAAAGTGGCATGATTGTTGGTGGCAGACGGGCTGCTCTGAGTATTTCAGAAACTGCTGATCTACTGGGATTTTCATGCACAACCATCTCTAGGGTTTACAGAGAATGATCTGAAAAAGTGGAAATATCCAGTGAGCGGCAGTTCTGTGGGCGCATCTTTGAGCGCACAACACATCCAACCTTAAAGCAGATGAGCTACACCATTAGAAGACCACAGGAGTGCCGCTCCTGTCAGCTAAGAACAGGAAACTGAGGCTACAATTCACACAGACTCACAGAAACTGGACAATAGAAGATTGGAGAAATGCAGCCTGGTCTGGTGAGTCTCCATTTCTGCTGCCACATTCAAATGGTAGGGTCCGAAATTGGTGTCAATTACAGGAAATCATGGATCCATCCTGTCTTGTATCAACAGTTCAGGCTGGTGGTGTAATGGTGTGGGGGAGGTTTTCTTGGCACACTTTGGGTCCATTAGCACCAATTGAGCATCATGTCAACACTACAGCCTACCTGAGTATTGTTGCTGACCATGTCCATCCCTTTATGACCACAGTGTACCCATCTTCTGATGGCTTCTTCCAGCAGAATTATCTCAGACTGGTTTGTTAAACATGACAATGAGTTCACTGTACTAAAAAATGGCCTGCACAGTCACCATTCTCAATCCAATAGAGCACCTTTGGTATGCATCATGCATGCAGCTAACAAATCTGCAGCAACTGCGTGATGCTATCATGTCAATATGGAGCAAGATCTCTAAGGAATATTTCCAGTGCCTTGTTGAATCAATGCCATGAAGGATTGAGGCAGTTGTGAAAGCAAAATGGCATCCAACCTGGTAGAAGTAAGGTGTGCCTAATAAAATGGCCAGTGAATGTATATTAGATTATATTATTTGTAATAAAAGTAATGTAATATAAAAACTTACATGTGCAGTTTAATTTTTACTCTTTCAAATACTTTCAAGGATAAAAACTTCCCGCTAACCCATTTCTAGTATTGTTTTTTAGTAAAATATTATGTCGTTATCATGGCAATGACAAAATAATTTTGTTACTTAGCCATTTACCTTAAAATGTGTTCAAAAATAATTTCAATTTGACAGTAGTATATGAGTGTGTGTGTGTGTGTGTGTGTGTGATTGAGTGTGTATGGATGTTTGGCAGTACTGGGTTGCAGCTGGAAGGGCATCTCCTGTGTAAAACATATGCTGGATAAGTTGGCAGTTCATTCCGCTGTGGCGACCCCAGATAAATAAAGAGATACGCCTAAGGTAAAATAATAAATAAATGTATTTTGATAAAATGTCATTTAAACTGCTACATATTTCTGAGTGGAACAATGTTGATGCTAGCCGACAGGGGGCGTCTATGTGTGGAAAAAAACACCTTTCAACATGTTTCCCTGATGGACAGAAAGACGGAGGAGATGCCGCTGCTAAAATATACCTTACATCGTGGATTGTCGCTGTTCTGGGATCATTTAAGGACAGTTTTATCCGCCGAAGCCTCCGTTTTTTCCCGCTGAAGCCTCTTGAAGACTGCGGTCTGTGTGCTGGATGTGAGTTGATGTCGACGTCAGGATTCCTGCGATTATTTGCCGGAAGATTCTGCGCGAGGGTTTGTTTTTGTTTGAAGCTCACGATGAAGGATAACGTTTATAACGAAAAACGGACATAAAACACGGAAAGACGAGCGCTGAAGAGGCCTGTGGTTTATTTTAATCGGATATTAAGCTTGTCCTCTCATCATTGGAGCATGGACAGGTAGCAGTGATGGGTTTCTGTTATTAGCATAACTTATTAACATAATCGCATATGTAAATATTACTGTATAGTATTAATCGTTTAATGGTCTGATTATTTTGGAGTGGGCGTGGTCTGACGCGTTTGTTTGCTCTTTTGTTTATTTGCAGTAATTTATAATGAATATGGACTTTTTAATGTTGGCCTGTTATTCTGTACATCAAGCTAATAGATTTGTTTGCAGTTTGCTTTTGGACCCCCCTCAGGCGTTTATACTAGATTTTATTGCGGATAGTTGTTTTAATCGTCCTGAAAATTTATTACTAATAGTGTAGACGAAACAAACATTTAGATTATTGTATTGCAATAGTCTCATCTAGTTAAATTCAACTAATATTTAAGTATTTAGGTGTTCAAAGCATTATGTCATTATGAGGTAAAGTTGGTTTTATAGTCACACAGTTGGACATTCTCTTTTATAATATAATTTCTGAAAAGTATTCTTTGCCAACTCTAAATAGTGAAAATTATTAGCAGCCAATAACAAAATTTCCCTACCGAAAAAAACAGCTTAAACCAGCCTAGGATGGTTGGCTGGTTTTAGCTGGTCAACCAGGCTGGTTTTAGAGGGGTTTTGGCCCCTTCCAGGCTGGTTTCCAGCCATTTCCAGCCTGGTCTTAGCTGGTCTGGCTGGGAGATAACCAGCTAAAACCAGCTTGACCAGCCTAGCCAGGATGGGAGCCCAGCCAAAACCAGCTATGTCCAGCTTAAACCAGGCTGGTCAAGATGGTTTTAGCTGGATTTAGCTGGTCATTTTTCAGCCAGACCAGCTAAAACCAGGCTATAAATGGCTGGAAGCCAGCCTGGAAATGGCCTAAACCCCTCTAAAACCAGCCTGGTCAACCAGCTAAAACCAGCCAACCAGCCTAGGCTGGTTTAAGCTGGATTTTTCAGCAAGGTTGGTAAATAGTATTGGAGCATGTCAGAAGGTCGTACTGAAGGAATGTGCGAATACAAAACTGACTTTACCTCATTTTATTCTGAACATCTATTATTATAGATTGTTAAACTTATAGATTTGTTTACAGTTTGTTTTTACACTCCCCTTTGGCGTTTATATTGCGAATTGTTGTATTAATCTTCCTGAAAATAGCGTGGACGAAACAAATATTTAGATTAATTTATTGCAATTTAGTCTCATCTCTGTAGTTAAATTCAACAGATGTATTGAAGTGAAGTAAACATATGTCATTATTAAGGTAAAGTTGGTTTTATTCTCACACATTTGGACTTTTTCTTTAATGATATCATTTCAGAAAAGTATTCTTTGCCAATTCTAAATAGGGAGATCATATTAGCAGCCAATGACTATCATAGTACAACATTGTTCAGTCAAATAAATATTGGTAATGTTGTTTTGAAGTCATGCTAGCATGTGATTGCAGACCAAATATTCAAAGTACTATGGTAAAGGGAGCATGCTGCAAGTTGTCACTGAACTCATGTTCGAATATAAAACCAACTTTACCTCACTTTATTCTGTACATTTGTTTTAGATTGTTAAGCTAATAGATTAGTTTACAGTTTGTCTTCGGACACCCCTCTGGCGTTTATATAGCATTTTTATAACGAATTGGTTTATTAATAGTCCTGGAAATTGACTTAAACAAATATTTTGATTAATTTATTGCAATTTAGTCTCATCTCTGTAGTTAAATTCAACTGATAGTCATGTATTTTTCAAAGTACAACATTGTTCACAATCAAATAAATAATGCTAATGTTGTTTTGAAATACTTGCATGTGATTCCAGACCCAATATTCAAAGTGCCATGGTAAACAGTATAGGAAGCATGTCACTGAAGTTGTCACTGAGCAAATGTACGAGTAAATTACCAACTTTACCTTCATGTCATTAGATTGTTTCATTTAATCTTTAATCAAGTTATAATTTCCCTTCTGAAAAAAAAAAACTGGTGGTTGACCAGCCTGGTTTTATAGCGGTTTTGGCCATTCCAGGTTGGCTTCCAGCCTGGTCTTAGCTGGAGCACAGCAAAAACCAGCTATGTCGAGCTCAAACTATGCTTGTCATGCTGGTGTTAGCTTGTCATTTGCAGCCTGACCAGGTAACACCAGACTGGAAATGGCCAAAATCCCTCTAAAACCAGGCTGGTCAACCAGATAAAACCAGCCAACCAGCTTAGGCTAATTTAAGCAGTTTTTTTCAATGTGGTTATCTTCTATAAAGTTGTTCAGGGTTATTTTCTATAAATAAATGGCTTTAAAAGGGCATTTAATTCTGATTTGATGTAAAATGGCTAATGCTAAAATGAGACTCCACAAGTGCTAGCGTAGCTAAGTACAGAAAATGTGTTTCAATTTTATTTTGTATTTTAAGTGCAGTATTACAGAATTGCACAAAAACACTTTTAGAAGTTTTGCCAAAATGTTTTTTGGGAGTGTTGCTAATGTTGACAATAAATGTTGATGTACAATAAATGCTGATTTAGATAAATTTATAGCATTTTTACTCATTCGTTATAAATATTCTACATAAACAGTGATCGGCTAATCACTGCATGCATGACTTCACAGAGAAAAAAAAAATAGCATTTCTGCTATTACTTTTAGACACTTAAATTATATTTTGATTTAATTATATTGATATGACAAACTTTTGTATTTTCCACATTGCTGGTTGTAGGCATGTGCCGGTATCCGCTTGTTAAGTGTGACGTCACGCGAAGTGGCTTCCCGGTTCAAGCGCTCTATTCAACTGAATGGGGAGACTCATGAAATGTTAAAAATAAACGTTTACAAAGCAACTTAATTCTGCCGAAAATCGCAATATATATGTCCATGCCTAATATCCAATGGCCAGAAAGTGATTAAATTTTTTTTAAACTGGTAAAATGTTGGTATTTGATATGCAGCAAACCTAGAGATTGTTGTGTACACTATGACTTTGTATAAAATTAACTTTAATGTGTGATATGAATAAAAAGTGATCATAAACAAATGATTTATAACTCAAGTGAGTGGCGGCTTGGACCCGGAAACAGTGTTACATACGTCACCAACACGTCATCACTTAACAAGCGGATACGATTCTAACTGTTTGATAAAAACATGACAGTACTATCATGGTATTGTGATCACTGCTCTGAAATATGTGCTTTTTAAATGTCTAGATCAAAAACAACAACTTCATTCCTGATTTTAGGAATTTTAGCAAACACAAAAGTTTGGAATAGTAAACATGGCAGTCAGATCAATAGCTTTTTAAGTGGAGATAATTTGGGAGTTGCCCAAAACAAAACAAACTGTGCATATACCTTAAAACGGTTTAACAGAAAATTGCGTCCAAAATTGCATGCTTCCATACTATATAGAATGCTAAAACAGTATGCAAGCCGAGTAATATGACTGAACTCATAGAATTCGACAAACAGTGTGCGAGAAATTCCCAGGTGGTCTACCACTTCCAGCGATATTCGGAAGTGCGCATCTGATGGACACTTCGCTATCCCCTGATGCTCCACTAGAGAATTCATGAATGCGACAGACGTGGGTAGATCATGAGGAAATGGCGGATGTAGTACGTCTGAGTTCCATTCATACAACTCATACTGCATAGAGTGCAGCTTTCTAACGGTCGAGTAGTACATTTCAATTCAAATGCAGTAGCTACTAAGTTGCAGGCGATATCGGAGGAAGCCCTTGACTTTTCCAAACCACGGTAAACCTTGAAGCCAGTTACTTTTTCATGCCTAGCCAGTTGTCAAAGTGACTTGTTCCATTCAGATTTATCCTCATGATTAGTATATGTTGTAATAAGTTGTCAGCTTTTTAAACTTTCCAGTTCTCTCTCTTCAGATTGGAGGATAACATAAACCGTTGGTTATGGCGGGAAGACTTCTGGCTTCCTCCTGGCGTTACGTGGAAAGACATCGCAGAGGGAACGTCTGACGGAAGTCGGCATCCCGTACCGCGGGATCTGCTCATCTCATTCCCATTGGCCCTGGGGTTCATCGCCCTGCGTTTTGTATTCGAAAGGTCAGTATCAACGCCGCATATGTTTTCATTTTCATTTCTAGCGAGTCAAATAGCATTCATGTGTAGAAAATGAATAAGGAAATATAAAATGTAAATAAAATAACACTGTATAGTCTTTATTTTAATTCATTCGGTGAAATTAATCTTCATTAAAGTAACAAATGTTGTACTTTTTGTTTTCGAATCTTTTAATCTGTCTTGAAATCCCTTTAAAACACATGCATATGATCAATCTTCAGTCTGTTATGGTTATAGCCTTACTCTACTTTAGATGTCGCCACAGCGGAATGAACCACCAACTATTCCATCATATGTTTTACGAAGTGAATACCCTTTCAGCTGCAACCCAGTACTGGGAAACACCCATAGACTCTTATTTACACACACGCATACATTACGGCCAATTAAGTTTACCTAATTCACCTATAGCGCATGTGTTTGGACTGTGGGGGAAACCGGAGCACCCGGAGGAAGCCCACGCCAACTCGAGGAGAACATGCAAACTCCACACAGAAATTCCAACTGGCCCAGCCGGGACTTGAACCAGTGACCTTTATACTGTGAGACGACCCAGTGCTAATCACTGAGCCACCGTCACGCCATTTTGAAAGTCTTTAAGAAATTTACATTTGCTTTTGTTTTACTTCTGCATGTCCATAATTTAGATTCTCATCGTTATTGTTTTTGTTATTATTGTCAGTATTTCAAGGCCATGAGTGGTTGTGTAAGCATTTCACTGCACATCATAGTGTACAACTGTGTATGTGACAAAAGGAAATTCTCAGAGCAGTCGGTGTGGTTTTGCTATCGCGTCTGTAAGAGCGGGTCAAGTGTAGATGTGTGAAATCCGCTACTTTAATGAGGACAGCTGCCCATCACGTCGCTCCTGAAACCAGATCTAGATGTTTATTCATCAAACACACTTCAAGATTTCCATCCTCACCACTGATGGAGATCTGGAGTTACACAGAGAGTCAGCTTACACTGTAGCTGCATAAGTGTTTGTTTCTGTGTGTGTGTGTGTGTACTTCATGTTTATAAAGTAGGCATGGGCCGGTTTAAGATTCTGACCGTGTGATAACCTTAGATAAAAATGTCACGGTTTCACAGTATTGTAATTACTGCTCTAAAATTCGCTCTTTTTAAATTTCTGGGTAAAAAACTAAAGTTTTTTCCCCCATTGAACATAATATATTTTATTTTAGAAAACATTTTAAATATTTTGGAGCAGTGAACATGTCAGGCTAGATAATTATTAAAATAAATCACAGACTTCTGCTGTCTTCATTAGTTTAAAAAAACACAGATTTTGGGCCCTATCACACACCCATCGCAATAAGGCGCAAGACGTGTTTGGCGTGATTTGTTGATATTTTCAGACTAGCGCAACATTAATTTTCAAGTTTTTCTCCACGTTTAAATAACAAACAGCTTTTTTTTAGTTTATTTATGACTATTTGCATCTGTATAATGTTATTATTATTAGCAGTATTATTTATTATATGTAAATTATATTTGTTTTAATAAAAACTATTTTAAATTTGTCCACCTGTGTGGTTTTGGAGACGTATGTGTCAATATGTGGGTCATAAGAACACGACGTGTGTTTGGATATAACTCCATTTTTTGACCACACTTCATTATTATTGCTCATTTAATCATTAAATAGTTTTACAGGGTTCCCGCGGGGTCTTAAAAAGTCTAAAATTTTAAAATCGAAATTTAATTCGCTGTTCTAGGTCTTAAATATTTTGCACAGGTCTTATTTTTGCGATGTTCATGTAACACTCATCTAATGCTCATTTAAATTCTTTTTTGTTGTTGTTGCTGGGGTGTTGTAGTTCTTTATTTCACAAGTCCAATAGGCCTATTTCACAAAATGGCGATCGGGACCGGAAGTATGCAAAACTTTGTTCCGGTAGAAGCAAAGTGCAATGGCGGAGACGAGTAATCAATCTTGTAGCGTACCTTTTGTGCTAATTCGAAAAAGAAACATCCATATATGTCGTTTAATAGTTTTCCAAGTGATTAAACTATTAAGATGCGTTGGATTTGGGCTATTCGGAGAGATGAGGGGAATTTACTGTGAGGAAAGGCAGCACTTAAAAACATCTTCAATGATAATGATTCTCTTTTTATTCATCTGATTTTACTGTCGGTTTTTTGACAGCCCCCTGTCGTTTAAAAAAATATCTCAATGATGAACGTGTCAAGTATAAAAGCCTCATCCGTTTTGTAAGGTGTGCGATGCGGCGCCAGGCGAAAGTATAAATTAGCGTTATGATGTTTGTTTGTTTTTTCTGTAGTTCAATGGTGCATCTAATTTACCTTTAGTACTGTTCAATTTAAATAAATCAATTTTACCCCTAATTTTGTGCTTTTATATTTTTTCTCATGTGTTTTTGATATTGCGATATAGGTCTTAAATTTAATACCTAATGGTCTTAAAAAGGTCATAAAAAGTCTTAAATTTGACATCATGTTATCTGCAGAGACCCTGTTATAGAAATAGTTTTGAATCCAATCTTTGTGCTTAACAAACTACATTAAATATGTCGGCTAATGGATATCTTCAGTGGAGTGAGTTTCCGTACTCCACCAAAGTAAAGGAGTAAAGAGAAAGTAAAGAGGCTGAATGAAGGAGGCTCGTTCTTTATCCTTGTGGTGCAGATGCTCTGTTTAACTGTTTCTCGCTAGTGAAGCGTTCCGTTTTTCCACTTACAAAGTCCGCCATGTAAATGGCAAATGCGCAATGGCGCGACACATCTGACTCTTAAAGGGAATGGGAGATAAGACTCTTATTGGTTTAATGCACGTTATGCTCTAAACCAGGGGTCTCAAACTCAATTTACCTGGGGGCCGCAGGAGGCAAAGTCTGGGTGAGGCTGGGCCGCATAAGGGATTTCACAAAAAAAAGTCCTCAAATGTCATTATTAACAGTTTTAATTATTTCTTCTGAACATGAAGTGTCCTGAACATAAATAGAACATTGAGTGAAGATTATGAACAGTTCTTCTGAACATGGCATCTTCTTCTCACAAATCTGAACCACATTTGGCTTTAGAGCGGAAGCAGTTGAGACCCTCAGTATGGCTTGAAGTTGATCATCATTAAGTCTAGACCTGCACTTTGACTTATTGAAGTCCTAGAGAAAAAAGTGGGGGAACTCACTCAAAACTTCCATTCCCTCACCTAAAAAAGGCGTATATATGTATAAATAAAACACCCCCACCCCACTCCAGTCACATCAGTCTGTACCAGTCTGTATCTACCTATAATATCAATATATATAAGATGCAGGGCAGGCACGTGCACACATAGGGCTCAACCTGTGCAGAGCACATGCCCTTTTTAGTCTTGCATAGAAAGTGCGCTTCCAAAATGATCAAAAGTGCCCCCGCGACGCGACACACCCTCGGTCCCGCCCTTCAGTAGGCGCGCGATAACACCGCTCTTGAGTACGCGCGCAACAACACAGCTGATCAGAACGCGCGCGACAACGCGCATTGAGTGACAAGCGCGCTGTGTACGGATAGAATCAGCGGAGCGGGGAGCACTCTCTCTCCCCGCTCTGCTGTCTCTGTCAGAGTACAGCGGTCGGCACGGGCCACAAAATATTGCACTGAGGGCCGCAAATGGCCCGCGGGCCGCGAGTTTGAGACCCCTGCTCTAAACAAACCCATAACTCATTAAGAGAATAAGCACAACCCTGTTAGACCATGCGCCAGCCATTTTTCCATCCTTAAAATAGCAAAAGTGGATTCAGACATGCCCTTAATGGTTTTGCGCCCTACGCTTTAGACTTTGCACCAAGATCGTCAAAATAGAGCCCTTCAACACAGAACTTGAAAAGGCATCTTTAGAGATCTTTCTTTTCTTTTTTAAAGTAAAGCCAGTGCACTGTTCTGCTCTATATCATGTTTGGGTATGGTTTAGATATTGTTTTTTTTTTTTATGTTTCCTAAATTGTGGGCTGAACTGTAGATTTTGATGTGGATGAGATAATGTTGCCCTAAAAATAAATAAAATAGTCATAATAAACACTTTTCTTTTTCTTTTTTTAATTTTTTAAAAAAAAATTTTATACAAATTGTATACTTTAGGAAAGGTATAACAGAAAATTTTAGAGGTTTTAAAAACTTGACTTTTCCAAATCACGGTATACCTTAAATCCATTTATCTCCCCATGCCTAGTATAGAGTCAGGTGTTACAGAGGAAATGGTGGATTATGAGGACATTGTTAATATCCTCAATTCTCAAAAGTCTTATAAATCATAAAGAAAGTAGAAAAAAAGTTAGGTCGGAAGGTAAAACCACACACAGTTTCCTGTAATGGCTAAGGTTTGGTGTAGGCAGATGGAAAACACAGTTTACAGGACAGTATATAAAAAAGGAGGGAACCAATTGAAAGTCCTCACAATTCACAAAAACAAACGTGTTTTTTTGTGTCCGTGTAGGGTCTGTGTAGGGTTTGAAACTGGGTTGAAACTGGCTTCAAGGTTTACCGTGGTTTGGAAAAGTCAAGGGCTGCCTCCGATATCACCTACTACTCAGTAGCTACTGCTTTTGAATTTAAATGCACTACTCGACCGTTAAAAGTGTGCACTCGATACAGTATGAGTCATATGAATACAAACATGTGTGTTTGTGTGTGTGTCTGTGTAGGGTGGTGGCTCTGCCTCTGAGCCGCCGGCTGGGTGTTCGTGACAGGGTTCGGCTTCACATCACACCGATCCCCAAACTGGAGGCGTTCTACCTGCAGAAGAAGAAGACTGAGCCGTCACAGGTGAACAACACCTAAACACCTGACTCATTACCGCACACATGACATCATCATCAGATCTGACTCGCTCTCCACGCCCTACACTAAAATAAACAACACACACATGTTGGCTTAATGACAAAAAACAAAGTCTGCAGAAAATGAAAAATTTACTGTTTAATTTGAGCACAAAGTTATTCTTACACCGTGTCCTGATTACACGAGACGCGGCACCAAGACACGCAATAAAAGATATCTTTTCCATGTTAAGAGTTTTTGTCCTAACCATCTGTGCTGGTGGCGCACAAAATTTAGGTTTTTATTTCTGCAAACAACACGGCAGGACATTGGTCATTAGGTACTGATTTTGGGCTTTATTCAATGTTAAATGCTACCAATGTTTCAATATTGCCATACTACTGAAAGCAGCAGCCGTTTACCTCAGATCTTAAAAATAAGCAGACGGTTTCAAAATGAAAGTCAAAACTGTGCAAAACCAACAGCATCAGCCTCTCAGTAGCCTATTTATAATGTTCAAGACGTTCAATATGTTTTCATTGTGTCTGTCATGTTGTCACGTTTGGGGCGGAGACACAATTTGTTTGTCTCTGGAATCTTGTGACGTCACATGTTATTAGAACACGGTGTTGAGGTGAACAATTAATCTGTGTCAGTCCACTAATAAATGTTTGCTTTGGTAATCTGTACTCAAAATCGTATCATTTTATTCCATGTTTGAACTGATAGTCCTTTTGTTGAAGTCAACTTGAGGGCTTTCATATCAACTGTATGTCTATATTCTTAACCACTGTATATCCCCTCTAACCATTAGTTTGCTATGAGGAAACAATGCGCAAAAAGAAAGCTCCGCCCCTACTAATAAGTAGCAACTGAGTTAAGTTAAACAGGTTTAATGAGGGCAAAATCATAATTAATGGTTTATAAGTAAAGAGAATTTGAGTTTAAAATAAAGTATGACTGCTTCAAGATATTATTGTTATCTTATACAATGGTAATCGTTAATTATTTATCATATGTAATATTTTATTATTAATATAATGATCGAAACATATTTACAAAACAATATAAACCAGTACTCTTTAACAAATACTCAGCTTTACTGAGATATATAACATGACACATATGCATGCTCTATTAAAATATTAGAAACATGAATATTTGCAATCTTTCGTCAATTAAAAAAAAAAAAAAAAAAAAAAAAAAATATATATATATATATATATATATATACAGGGCTCGACAATAAGGACTGCCCGATGGCCCGGGTTCAGTGTGCGAGACACTCGGGCCAGTGTACAGAATGTTACTGGCCCGATCGGGCCAGTGCTGCCTTTTTGCCTGCCAGATCGAGCCAGAGCTGCGTGCTGCGACTGTCTGTCAATTGTATGCAAATACAATCTTACGGTGCTTTCACACATAGACGTTTGTTTCGGAATCTGTATCGTTTCCCCCGTTAGCGCGTTTTTTCTTGGCATATATCCAGCAGTTGCGCTCACTTCCGTGCCAAATCAATCAGTCCGAGATCGCCTGAATGAGACGGTCTCTGTCCTATTGAGCGGATCGATTGTAGCGAGAAAACAAAACAATGCAACGAACTAACGACCCAGGCTATATCACAGTGTCTTATGATCGTGTAATAGCCATATATACGGCTATATGAAGAGAGAATGATGAGCAGGGCGAGATGTCATTCTTACCGGTAAATGCGAAAGTGAAAGCATGCTGAAATATTACCGAGAGCTGTTTATCCAGCCTGATCTCGGTTTATCCGTTAGGAAAATTGACCGAAGTTAATATCTGATCATTTTTTTCCATGTTTTAATCTTACAATATGTTGTGTCAGGCCAGTTGTTTTGTTCATTTCTGCACTGACAGCTCGAAAGAAAATCAACATTGATCTGCTTCGCGATCTGCTGCAGTCTCGGTTCATCTGCTATGTCTCTCTATAATTTAAGCCTAAAATACAGAATTATAATCAACGTTTCTTTAATAGATTGATTAATTCAATAGATAGATATCTACGAAACCTGACAATTGAAATGAGGCTCTGTATGAGAAAATCTGACCTCGATTTGTATTCGGTGACGATGTCTGTGGGTTGTTAAAATTAAAGTGCACATTTTTGCTTATAAAAAAATCTATACACAACTGGTAAAAAAGTTTGGGGTCAGTATGATTAAATATGTTAAAATAAGCTTCTTCTGCTCACCAAGGCTGCAATTATTTCATCATAAATACAAATTGTGAAATGTTGCACTATAAAATAACTGTTCAAAAGTAGTTTATCATATAATTTATTCATTTATTCCAGTGAATTTAAAGATGAAATTTCAGCTTCATTACTCCAGTCACATGATCCTTCAGAAATCACTAATATTAATTATTATTATATTTATTGTAATAGTAATAAAAGCAATAATGTCTGGAGTAATAATTTTATTTGAAACTACATACAACAGCAAAGAAGTTATTTAAAATTTTGATAAATATTTAACAATTAAACATTTTTTACATTTATAAATATAGCCTTGATGAACTGAATAATTTTCCATAAAAAACATTTTAAAAATTACTGTAAATATATATACGGAGTTATAAGCCCCCTTTTGTTGTTGTTTTTTTCTTTTTAAAATATTTCCTAAATGATGTTTAAGAGAGCAAAGAAATGTTGATAGTTTGTCTGATAATATTTTCACACAGTGTGTTTGTGTTCAGGAGGATCTTCAAGCTCTGGTGAAGCTCTGTGGTCTCAGCGAGCGTCAGATTCAGTCATGGCTCCGGCGCCGCAGGATTCAGGACCGGCCCGCAAACTCCCGCAAGTTCAGCGAAGCCTCGTGAGTGTGTACTGAAAATTCTGTGTATGTGTGTGTGTGTGTGTGTGTGTGTGTTTGTGACTAACGGCAGCCGCTCTCTGTGCTTCATCAGGTGGAGGTTTGGCTTTTATCTCATCATCTTCTCAGCCGGTCTGATTTCTCTCATTCACGTGAGTACTTCAAAACAGTCTCAAACGAATGATTTCATAGTAATCAACTTTTCATTCTTATATTTGCATAAAGATGTAATATCTGAAATTTTGAGGGAAAAATGTTTAGTTTCTGTGAAGTTTCAAGGAATTATGTTTTTTCCACAAACCTACACATTATTCATTCATTCATTCATTTTCTTGTCGGCTTTGTCCCTTTATTAATCCGGGGTCACCACAGTGGAATGAACCGCCAACTTATCCAGCAAGTTTTTACGCAGCGGATGCCCTTCCAGCCGCAACCCATCTCTGGGAAACATCCACACACACATTCACACACTACGGACAATTTATCCTACCCAATTCACCTGTACCGCATGTCTTTGGACTGTGGGGGAAACCGGAGCACCCGGAGGAAACCCACGCGAAGGCAGGGAGAACATGCAAACTCCACACAGAAACGTTAAATGAGCCGAGGTTCGAACCAGCGACCCAGCAACCTTCTTGCTGTGAGGCAAACGTGCTACCCACTGCGACACTGCCTCGCCCACCTACACATTATTTATATATATTTTTGTTGTATTGTATATAGAGATTGTGTTATATATTAATTATATACAACTATTTTATTAGATCATTTATATTGATATGTATATAATCAGGGCCGGATTGGCTAATCGGGAGGACCGGGAGAATTCCCGGTTGGCCGGTCCGTTTTTTTGGCTGCGAGGGCCGGTGTCCCTAGCTTTAGACTCTGTTGCTCTCAGCAACTTTTTTCATTCATTTATTTATTTGTTTGACCCAGATTCGAACCTTATCTGAGTAATTTATTTACTTTTTCATTTTTATTGTTAAGACATATAACACTGTTAGGGTTGTTGAACATTTGAAGTTCTAAAGCAGCTTTTTTTTCAAAAAAGACGTGATAGTGTAATTAGAAGCTGATTTGGAAATTACCTTATTTTAATATAGTCAGTCGTGAACTGAGGTGGGCCGGTCTGAAAAGGAGTCCCACTCCGGCCCTGTATATGATTATATAAAAATATATACATGATATACCCAAACTATGAGTGACAAATCAGTTCGTTACTTGAAAGCATTTACTGTTTAATAGTATTTATTCATTCATTCATTTCTTTTCGGCTTAGTCCCTTTATTATTCAGGGGTTGCCACAGCGGAATGAACCACCAACTTATCCAGCACATGTTTTACGCAGCGGATGCCCCTCCAGCTGCAACCCATCTTTGGGAAATGTTAACAATTATTTAAATTATTATATGTTAATTATTGAATATATGTTAAATATCTGGCATATTAAACAAGAGTGTATGATCATTCATTTATTTAATTTTCGGCTTAGTCCCTTTATTAATCTGGGGTCGCCACAGTGGAATAAATAGCCAACTTATCCAGCATATGTTTTACACAGCGGACGCCCTTCCAGCTGCAACCCATCACTGGGAAACACCCATACACACTCATTCACACACATACACTACAGCCAATTTAGCTTATCCAATTCACATATAGCGCATGTTTTGTGGGGAGCACCCGGAAGAAAACCCCAGCCAACAGGTGGAGAACATGCAAACTCCACACAGAAACGCAAGCTGACCCGCTTGAACCATCAACCTTCTTGCTGTGAGGCGAACGTGCTACCTACTGCGCCACCGTTTAGCCCAGTGTATAATCAACGATAGTTTATTTTAACAAAAAAACATTGATCACCAAAATCTTGTTTAAACAGGAACATCTAATCATTATTTTCTGTCCACTGATGTTCTTCAGACTCCGTGGTTTTGGGATCACCGGGAATGCTGGAGCGGATACCCGGCACAGGTCTGTAACAAACGTCTCTCCGAACACAATCACTTCCTGCTAAACAATCCCAGGAACTTTATTCTCTCAGTTGATCCTCTTTGAAGGAGGTTAAAACCCAAAATCTGAGGAACAATTCAGAGCCGCACCCTCCACACCATTCAACACCACACTCAGAGTCATCATTCATTAGCAAAAAATAATTATTATTGTTCATTTGAGAGCATGTTTTTGTACAGTTCATTTTTTTACGTGATTAAATGTTGCGTGTTCATTCTGAAATAAGACAATATTGATATTTTGCATATAGAGTAGGGGAAATATGACGTCACTTTGTAGACCAATCGGCTGTTAGCATCCCACTGGTTTTCTCTGGAGAAAAAAAACAATAGGATTGTCCACCAATTGCGGACTAATTTAATTGGCTGACACTGCTATGATCGCGTCAGCCTCAACTTCAGTCACGCCCTCCGTCAAGAGTTGACGCTGGAGCCTCGTGTGTTATATTATATTTATGGGGCTTTCATACTTTGTTTGCAATATTTGCACAAAATTAGATGCTTGAAAATCTACTCGCTTCATTCGCTCATGAAATTCACTTCACAACAGATGCGAAATTACTTCAGTTTTGTTGCAAAATGGCTGACATGGATTTTGTTGAGAGTGTAGCTTTGCTTTATGTGCTATGGAAGGCTGAAAAATGGCGTAGACTTGTTCGGTGCTGTGTCTGCTTCTGATTGGTTAAATATACATTTCAGCAAAGTTCCGATTTTTGAGCTTGAATGATTTCCACGAATGATGCTTTTTTGTTTGTGCGTCAAACAGCCAAAAACGATCAAGTCAGCCATGTCGTTCGCTCAAATTGCATCATTCGTGCTGCCTAATTTGTGCGCACCACGCACAGGATGTCTATCACATTTTTGCATTGAATGTTGCATTGACCATATAAATAACTTTATTGCTTCATTTGCGTCTGGTAGGGTTGGGTCGATAGATGATTCCATCGCCAATAGACAACACGATGCTGAGCTGGCATCGCCGATCCTCCGCCCTCGTCGCAAACCTGCTTGCGAAAAATACACACTCAGGCCCCGTTTGCACTAATACGTCTTAGTGTTAAAATGGCATTTTAGGACGAAAATAATCCACATCCACACCGTGTTTAACCTAGCAATTCTGAACAGCCTTCTGTCCACTGAAAACGCACATCACATGACCACACACACACACACACACACGGATAAGTGGTGCTCACTGCAAAGCCACACACACAGCCACAAACTGTCATGCGCCCTCTGAGCTCCAGGCAGAGAGCAGTGCACGTCGGACAAATTATCAAGGATGTACCGCTGGATCGCGCCTCACTATAGTTGTTAAACGTGATATTCAGACATACCAAGTCTCCCGGAAGTTCCGGGAGTCTCTATGCATTTGCGGGACTCATAATGCCCGCAAACGAGTGATAATCTACCAGAAATTGCGTATCTCCCTCCCGGTCGCGGACCCTTCTCACCCCCGGATCCCTCCTCGCTCTTCAGACACATCGCGCACAGTCTACCAAAACCCAATCGTCCATCGCGATGTTTCACATTAGACATTGTACAATGCCGAATTCGTCGACTGGTGTAAATGCAACATTACACATTTTGTCCATTAATATAATCTTCACATGATGATCTACATTTTTTTTTTAACTTTGTTTATTTTGAACATTCAATTGAGTACTGTCATACAGCATTTCAAGGTACATTGGTATCTCAGTATGTGAACTTAGGTGGTATAAAAATGAAGTACATTATTGTCAGGTGTATTTACTACACAGTAGTACTCAAATTTTGTATATTATAAAATGAAAAACAGCATAAAATGATTTACATTTTTAATTGAATAAATTGAATGCAAGTAAGGAAAAGCTAGTTTAGTTAGTGTATAAACATACTACACAGACTTTACGTCCCCGCCAACTTACTAACAACAAATTTTCAAGCTTATTTTTAGAAATGTGATCCATGACAAGAATTTATAACATTTTATATTGAGGTACGCACAATCTAACTGCACAAGTCTGCAACTGCAGTCAAAGCCATCGTAACAAACTACATTTGTATAGTGATGTCTATAAGCCACGAGTATTCGTATTCTCCAACGCTGCCTGTAGTCTCATTTAGCAACTTATTAGCAGCTGTTTTTTTTTTTTTACGAAAGCGTAACCAATTTCAAATAGCTCAACAGTTTGTGTAACTGATGTGTTTTATGTTGTAGAATAAAACGTGAAAGTATCTTGAGCTTGTGTAAAACCCATTGACTCACAATGGCACAGGAACTGTTAAAAGCAAATGCTAACTGCTAAAATTTGCTAACTGCTAAAGTTTGCTAACTGCTAAAATGCTAACTTCTGGGTTTTTCTGCTTGCAGATTGACGTGATTATTCCTCCGCTCTATTGTTTTGTTTGTGATTTTTGATCTGCAGGCCGTCGCTGAAGCCCAGTATTGGTATTATATTATCGAGTTGTCCTTCTACCTCTCACTTCTGCTCTGCGTATCGGTGGACATAAAGCGCAAAGTAAGTCTTGACTCCTGCTCCAATGTAATTATGCAAAAATGATGGGTCGTACTTTATTTTAATATTCAATTCTCGCTATTTCTAAATCATTAATAATGACTTTTGAGTCATTTAATTCATAATTTGATGCTTTATTAATAGTTATTAGGGCAGTAGTTGGGTTTAGATATTGGGTAGGGTTAGGGATGTAGAATAAGATCATGAGGAATATGTGCTTTATATGTACTGATAAACCACTAATATTTGAATGATAGGCAAGTAGTAAGCCACTAGTTAATAATCAGAATTGGTGCTTAAACTAAAGTGTTACCAAATTATGATATTTTTATCATTCATGATAGTAAATAGTCAGTGTTTTATGCCTTTGATGAAGCCATGGATTATTATTTTAACATGTAACGTTTGAATAGCAGAATTCATGCAGGAAAAACTGCATTACCCATGATGCTGGATAAAGAATCAACCAATCACAGAGTGGCAGTGAGCTCCGCCCTCTCCCACAAAGTTGAGTCTCACTAAATTCTATTCAAAATATGTATATATAGGCGTGTTTGGCAACAAACTCAGTGTTTTTATAGAAAACAGATATCAAGAAGTGAAAATAAGTTTAATTCAGTTGACACTGCAGTGCTTCATGGGATTGTAGTTCTTCTATCCTATTTGAAAGTAATCACAGGCTTCGTCCGAAATCGACTACAACTCGTACTCGATGAATGAATGAGTAGTGTGAATGGAATTGGGACGTCCTACATCCGACATTTGTCATCATCACATGATTCACCCACGTCAGTTACGATGCTTTACTCCCATTCATGAATTCTCTCGCAAGGCATCATGGGATAGCGTAGCATCCATTCTCACTGATAGTAGTTGGACATCCGGATACTTCTCGCGTACTGTCCTTCCAATACTTTGAATTTAGACATACTAATCAGCTCGCATACTGTTTTTCACATACTATCCCTAATGAAAAAAACAGCTTAAACCAGCCTAGGCTGGTTGGCTGGTTTTAGCTGGTCGACCAGGCTGGTTTTAGAGGGGTTTTGGCCATTTCCAGCCTAATTCTTAGCTGGTCTGGCTGGGAGATGACCAGCTAAAACCAGCTTGACCAGCCTAGCCAGGCTGGCAGCCCAGCCAAAACCAGCTATGTCCAGCTTAAACCAGGCTGGTCAAGCTGGATTAAGCTGGTCATTTTGACCAGCTAAGACCAGGCTGGGATTGACTGAAAACCAGCCTGGAAATGGCCAAAACCCCTCTAAAACCAGCCTGGTCGACCAGCTAAAACCAGCCAACCAGCCTAGGCTGGTATAAGCTGGATTTTTCAGCAGGGATATAGTAACGTCTCATCCGAAAGACGAGGTCCCGACTCTCTGTGGTGTCCCATCCCAGGATGTCCTTCAAAAAAGAGTAGGGGTTTACCCCCGGCATCCTTGCCAAATTTGCCCACTGGCTTCCTAACCGTCCCCATATCATAATTGGCTTCATCACTCTCTCTCCTCTCCACCAATCAGCTGGTGTGCGGTCTGGCGCAATATGGCTGCCGTCGCAGCCGTCCAGGTGGATGCTGCACACTGTTGGTGGATGAGGAGATTAAAGTGCTGTGTAAAGTGCTTTGAGTGCCCAGAAAGTAGTAAGGAAGTATGTAATTTTGGATGCAGCCATAAGCTGTTTCCATCCACCTATTTTATGATGGAAACGCCATGATGTGCATAAATTTTAAAAATACGCATTAAAAACCTTATGCGCCTAACTGGGTAGGATAAACTTTTTATTCGATAACAAAAGATGTGCATAAACTGCGATGGAAACACTTTTACCGCACAAACTCCAGCATGCGCATTAAACAAGGTCATGTGATTTTGTTAAAAGAGATCATGTGATGCTTAAAATGTGTGTGAATGGATGAAACGTCAGGCTGAGCACATTATAAAACATCTGAAATGTTGTTTTGGTCATTATAAAACGCCTCACCATTTCAGTATTAATGCTATTATATTATTAATGACCTCCAGAATCAAGATCGCCTGTGCTCCGCGTCTGACACCATCAAACGCCACTGCGCTCTCACTGCAGGTCAGGATTGTCTTCTGAGGCGCATTCATTTAGAAAAGATTGACGCAGCTTCTCCTACTGCAGCAAATGCAGTTTTTACTGTTGATATTTGGCGCCAGTTAATCAGGAAGTGACGACTTTGTTCGCTTTGACTCGTTGGATGGAAAGATGCGTCATTCGCACAACTTTTATGCGATAATCCAGTTTTGCGCATAAAGTTTATTCGCATTTTTAGATGGAAACATAGCTATAGTCTTGTCTTTTTGACATATTGTCTTAGAGTTCTTTGCTTCAAAAGGTTTCAGTGTTGCGATTCTTGTTGTTACTGGTTGGTTTGGTTAAAATGCCTTCATGAAGACTTTTCAAACAGGAAAACTCTCACTATTGCAAATTAGCCAGCACTCCTGAATGTGTCCACCGCTCTAATGCTTTGTTTTTGTTTGTTTAGGACTTCCAAGAGCAAATCATCCACCACATCGCCACCATTTTCCTCATCGCGTTCTCATACTGTGCGAACTACGTGCGGGTGGGAACCCTGGTGATGCTCGTTCACGACTCGTCTGACTTCCTTCTGGAGGTAAATCGCACAATCCGATTGGCTGCTCTGTGAGCTTCTGTTATGACATCACAGATTGAGCATGAACACTCGTGATGTGGAATAAATAAGGAATAATTGACATAAACCACTACTGAAGTAGCATCATATCTTAAAACATTGGGATTTATTCACCTATACCCTACTTTCCAAAGCTTCAGCCACTGTTTAGATGTAGTATTTCAGACATTTGTCTGGTGTTTGTCTTTAAACTGTTCCTGTGTGCAGCACTAGTGTCTTACACATCTCATCCAAAGCCTTCTGCTGTGTTTTGATGTGAAAACCAAATCGTTCAGCGTAGTGGAGCTGCGATTCACTCAAAACCTGTCAGAACTACTTTAGCTGCGCATTTATCCGACAATAACCTAGGGCTGCTCGATTTTGGAAAAAATCATAATCACGATTATTGTAATCACGATTATTCTAAACGATTATCAGTTGAAGTCAAAATTATTAGCGCGCCTGAGAATTTTGTTTTTTTAAATAACTATTTCCCAAATTATGTTAAACAGAGCAAGGAATTTTAACAGTATTTCCTCTAATATTTTTTTTTCTTCTGGAGAAAGTCTTATTTGTTTTATTTTAGCTAGAATAAAAGATGTTTTAATTATTTTGAAAACCATTTCAAGGTCAATATTATTAGCCCCCTTAAGCGATATATTTTTGGATTGTCTGCAGAAGAATCTACTGTTATACAATGACTTGTCTCATTACTCTAATTAAGCCTTTGAATTGCACTTTAATCTGAATGCTTGTATTTTGAAAAACATCTAGTAAAATGTTATGTACTGTCATCATAGCAAAGATAAAACAAATCAGTAATTAGACATGATATATCAAAACTATTATGTTCAGAAATACGTTTAAAAAAAAAACTTCTTTCCATGAAACAGAAATTGGAGGAAAAGGGTTGCTAATATTCTGGAGGGCTAATAATTCTGACTTCAACTGTATATATATATATACAGTTATTTTCCACCCTGCAAAGGAAAGAGAAATAAATACAATAGAATAAAAATATGAAACAAACTGTGATTTAAGCATCTTCACCCTAAGAAAAACACTTTAGCTACAAAAATCCTTCAGTCAGGAGCAGTAGGGGATGTTCTTGTCGTTTGATTAATGATAAAACAGGCGGCAGCATTTCACACTGTCACTTTAATGGTTTCTCTTTCACGTGTCTTTTGATTCTCAACTCGTTTGTTTATTACGCAAATGAGGGTTAATATGAATAATCACTAATCACCGCGTTTTGACACCTATTTGACCATTAAAGTGCTCGCGTTAAGATTACTTTAGATGTCTGCGCTCCTCTGCTCGTCTCAGTGTGCGAATGAGACCGAATGCTGACCGCGTGCTTGTGCGCGTGTTGCGTTTTGAAATAAGAGTGAATGCTGACATCTGAGCCTACAAAAATATGTTTTAGTCCACTTCTAAATGGATTTTGGTGCAGTTCAGCTATGATATTAATGCAACACAAACCAAAAAAACATCTAAACTGACCAAAAACACAATCTGATGTGACAAGAAATAACCCTAAAAAACGAAATGTTGAATGTTCAGTAAGTTGCATCACATACTATACTGTACGTTGTAAAAGTCATTTCTTATTTTTGTTTCTCTTCAGTCTTAACAATGGCAATGCGAAATCCAATTGAACAAGGTCTTAACCTATTGTTTTGTTTTTGGGTTGAACAAATGAAGTAAACTGACCCATACGTGTGAACACACACAGTGAAGGTGAACAGAGTTCATTTTACCCAAGGTTTAGACTTGTCGGGTTCATTTTAACAAGTTGTACTAGGTTTTTTTTCTGCTTCAGGCGTAAATAACTACCAGGAAACAAAAGGTTCAGAAGTTCCCCTGATTGTTTCTTCCTCGAACAAAGATGCACATTTAAAATACCAGTCTGACAGACGATCACACTAATGATCAATGTGTTTAATTTACAGTCAGCCAAGATGTTTAACTACGCTGGATGGAGGAAGACCTGCGATGCCCTGTTTGTTGTTTTCGCTGCAGTTTTCTTAGTAACTCGCCTTATAGTTTTCCCTTTTAGGTAAGAATGTCACTGGACTGTATGTGAAGATGAACTTGATTTATAAACTTCTCAAATACATTGAGTACAACTGTGGCGACAAATCATTTAAGAAATAGATTCTGCTTTGATTTTGAGATTTACTTTGCTTCCTTTTTAAAAGCAGATGACGCTCAATGCTAATTTTTAACAGCAGATGACATTCTAGGCTAGTTTTTAATCAGCAGCTGGCACTCTAGGCAATTTTTTTTAACAGCAGACAGTGTTTTAAGGCGAGTTTTAAGCAGTAGACAGTGCTCTATGCTATTTTTTTCTAACAGCAGGCAGTGTTTTAAGGCTAGTTTTTAGCAGTAGATGGTGCTCTATGATATTTTTTAACACTAAGTGGTGCTCTAGGCTGGTTTTTAACAGCAGACGTGATTAAATTTATTTTTTTTGCAGCAGATGGTGCTCTAGGCTAGATTTAAAGTGTACACTCAAGTGCTTGTGTGTTCAGCTGATAGATGTAAGTTGGCTTTGATATCATTAAAATAATGTAAACAGCTCTATGTGAAGATTATTGTAATTTGCTAAAACCTTTTATTAACTTCATTAAAACAATTTCATATTCCAGTAGTATGTGTAAAGAATTAGATGCAAGCAGAGTATGGCTGTTTGTAAAGCTTACAGCCGCCATCTGTTGTTAAAACTAGCCTAGAGTGCCATCTGTTGGTTAGAAACTAATGTAGAGCAGTGTTTCTCAACCACGTTCCTGGAGGACCACCAACACTGCATGTTTTGGATGTTTCCTTTGTCTGCCACACCCATTACAGGTCTTTCAGTCTTTGCTAATGAGCTGATGACCTGAATCAGGTGTGTTTGGTTAAGAAGACATGCAAAATATGCAGAGCTGATGGTGCTACAGAAACATAGTTGATAAAAACTAGTGTGTCATCTGTTGGTTAAAAACTAGCCTAGAGCACCATATGTAGGTTAAAAACTAGCCTAGACTGCCATCTGTTGGTTAAAAACTAGCCTAGAGCACTATATTGGTTAAAAAGTAGCCTAGACTACCATCTATTGGTTAAAAACTAGCCTAGAGCACTACATATTGGTTAAAAAGTAGTCTAGAGTGCCATCTGTTGGTTAAAAACTAGCCTAGAGCATCATATGTTGGTTAAAAACTAGTCTAGAGCGCCATCTGTTGGTTAAAAACTAGCCTAGAGCACCATATGTTGGTTAAAAACTAGCCTAGAGCACCATATGTTAGTTAAAAACTAGCCTAGAGCATCATATGTTGGTTAAAAACTAGCCTAGAGCACTATATATTGGTTAAAAAGTAGCTTAGAGTGCCATCTGTTGGTTACAAACTAGCCTTGGGCACCATATGTTGGTTAAAAACTAGCCTAGACTGCCATCTGTTAAAAACTAGCCTAAAGCACTATATATTGGTTAAAAAGTAGCCTAGACTGCCATCTGTTGGTTTAAAAACTAGCCTAGAGCATCATATTTTGGTTAGAAACTAGCCTAGACTGCCATCTGTTGGTTAAAAACTAGCATAGAGCACCATATGTTAGTTAAAAACTAGCCTAGAGCACCATATGTTGGTTAAAAACTAGCTTAGAGTACCATATGTTGGTTAAAAACTAGCTTAGACTGCCATCTGTTGGTTAAAAACTAGCCTAGAGCACCATATGTTAGTTAACAACTAGCCTAAAGCATCATATTTTGGTTAGAAACTAGCCTAGACTGCCATCTGTTGGTTAAAAACTAGCCTAGAGCACCATATGTTAGTTAACAACTAGCCTAAAGCATCATATTTCGGTTAGAAACTAGCCTAGACTGCCATCTGTTGGTTAAAAACTAGTCTAGAGCGCCATCTGTTGGTTAAAAACTAGTCTAGAGCGCCATCTGTTGGTTAAAAACTAGTCTAGAGCGCCATCTGTTGGTTACTAACTAAGCTCAGAATCAATTCAAGAGGGAATAGCAATGCATTTTGAAAATGTAGATATTTAGTCACAGCTCTTGGCAACTGGAAAACACCTCAAATCTAAGGTTTCATGTTTGATTTGCAGAATCGTCTACACCGCTGTGGTGGATTCATTGGACGTATTTTCTCCATACCCTGGCTATTATTTCTTTAACGGCCTGTTACTGGTTCTTCAAGCTCTGCACATCTTTTGGGCTTGGCTGATTCTTCGAATGGTTCACAAATTTGTCTTTTTAGGCAAAGTGAGTATCTATGTTGAAAACAAATACTTTATCCTTTCACTTTACATATAAAGCACTTTACAACTACACATGCATGCCAAAGTGCTGGACAAGCAAATAAAGAAAAGCACATAAGATACATAAAAACAAGTCATTTAAACACATTTAGTGATATTATCTCCCTAAATTCATATGGAAATCTGACCTATGTATGGCACTATATATATGAATATATAAATACAGTTGAAGTCAAAATTATTAGCCCCCCTTTTAATTTTTATTTATTTTTTTTATATTTCTCAAATGATGTTTAACAGAGCAAGGACATTTTCACAGTATGTCTGATAATATTTTTTCTTCTGGAGAAAGTCTTATTTGATTTATTTTGGCTAGAATAAAAGCAGTTTTTTTTAACACCATTTAAGAACAAAATTATTAGCCGCTTTAAGCCAATTTGTTTTTCGACTGTCTACACTCTACAGCAGAGGTTCTCAAAGTGGGGGTCGGGACCCCCCGAGGGGTCGCGGGACAATGAAGGGGGGTCACCTGGTGATTTTCAAAAATCAATTAATTTTTATTAAACCTTAAGACTTACTGTATTTTATCAATAATAGTTACTATGAACTATATAGTTACTATAGTAGCTTATAGTTACTAGTTCTATTGGATTGCGACTATTTGGGTAATTACATTATACTGAAGGCACAGCAATACTGTCAGATGCAGCAGATTTTGTAACACCAGGTTAAACTTTCTAGCCCATTTACAGCACTGACATACATAAAAAAAAATAAAAAAAAACAAAGAATAGACTTGGGTCTATTGGTGTGTGTGCGTCATTGCATACAAGGTTTCTATATTTATAACCACCACCTCAGAGAATATTGGGGGTCACGAGTCACTGGCATTCTCATTTTGGGGGTCGCAGGCTGAAAAGTTTGGGAACCCCTGCTCTACAGAACAAACCGTCGCTGTACAATGACTTGCCTAATTACCCTAATCCGCCTAGTTAACCTAATTAACCTAGTTAAGCCTTTAAATGTCACTTTAAGCTGTATAGAAGTGTCTTGAAGAATATCTAGTCAAATATTATTTACTGCCATCATGACAAAGATAAAATAAATCAGTTATTAGAGATGAGTTATTGAAACTATTATGTGCAGAAATGTGCTGAAAAAATCTGTTAAACAGAAATTAGGGAAAAAATAAACAGGGAGGCTAAAAATTCAGACCTCAACTGTATATATACACACAATTATAGCTAATATATTTGAACATATATGTACAGTCATTATTCCAATGGCTGAAAAATATATAGGTAAACATTTCTGCAAAATTTCGAAATGTATATGTTATATGCATATATGATATTTTATACATGTGAAATCCAAATATGAACTTGCATGTCATATGTCATTTGCATATTGCCAGATTTCCGTATGGGGTGAGGCCGGCTATTCCACAGCCTCATTATAGAAAAAATGAATAGATGTAGGGTTATCCTCTTCTCTAAATGTTACAGTAGTTTAAAAATAGCAACTGTGTTTTTAAGGTGGAACGAGATGAACGGAGTGACGATGAAAGCGAGCCTGATGAGGATGATGAAGTCGGAGAAGAAGAAGAAGAGCGCAGCTGGGAGCACAAAAAGGGTGCACTTAATTCAAAACTGGCTTCTTTGGCCAATAACTGTGTTTTGAACAATTTAACGAACCAGAGACAAAAAATGAATAGTAGAACACTGAAGGAGAGATAGTGAATCCACTGTATGCATTTAAAGAGACAGTTCACCCAAAAATAAAAATGAGTTTCCTTCTGTTGAACACAATGAAGATATTCTGAAGAATGGTGGAAAAGACAACCACTGACTACAATAATACTTTTGGACATCATTTTCTGCTTTTCCCCAAACATTCTTCAAATTATCTTATTTTATGTTCAACAGAAAAAAACTACAATCTTTAAAACCACTTGAGCGTGAGTAAAAGAAAGGTGAACTATCCCTTTAAGTGTTTCGCTTTTAACTCACTTTCTTAGCTTTCTTGTTTGTCAAGGTTTAACTCTTAACTTCATATTTTGGTTTCATAACTATAATAAATAATACAATTTATGTTGTTACCATTACAGTGTGTTCGAAATCCATACAAAGTGAACTCTTTTATTTGTTTAAAATGAGTCTAATTGGCACTTTAGTAATACTTTAAAAAAATTAAAAGGTGTGCATTAAAATGATTCATGAACACATGTGCCCCTGCTTTCACAAACCAGGTTTAAGGCTAGTCAAGATTAAATAGAATGTTTAAGCTGCATCTTGCAGTGAGATGTCTTAAAATACGTCAGTGTCATTTTTTGTCTCCAGGGGCCTCATGTATCAACGCTGCGTACGCACAAAAACTTTGCGTACGCCAGGTTTCACGCTCAGAATCGCTCACGTTTGGATTTACTAACAATGAACTGAACGTGGGAATGTGCGCAGCTTCACGGCAGCTTTCTGGCAGGCGTACGCACATTTTTTGTGCGTGTGTGTTTTATTTCCATTGGCGACTCCTAGAGGCAGTTGTGTTAAATTCTTCTCTACAAAGTGTCTGATCCTTGCAATGGCAGCTGTATGAGACGGGTTCATATAGTAGGTATGTAAGATTTCCATACCATACAGTTGACCAGCTAAACATTAAAGCACAATTTGCAGCGGTCGCCTGTTTTCCCAATGTAATCTGAGCTATCTACTGCACGCACATTGCTATAAAGACACTATCTGAAGATGAATTTGCATGCGTGAATCAAAAACATTTCCATTCAATAAATGTGCAAATAAAATATGATGCACAAACTTATTGATGATTCCTACTTGTCTTTCTCGTGATAAATAGTGGGCAAAATCTGATATGTAGCGGGAAAAAAAGAAGAAAGAATTCATCAGACGCTGGATTCGAACCGAGTTTAAGCTTGAACGTGTCAGTTCATGAACACATGCGTCGTATGGGCTGCGCCACTGAGACTACTAAGGGTACTGCAACATTTTATAGATATAAATCACACTATTTCTTTCTTAAATGCACTCAGTGCGATGTTCAGACCCAACTGTGTTAACCGTACCAGCTAAACTCTCCTACTCTATTTTTCTCTTTTGTTGTTAATTCCGGAGAACAAACTTGCAAATAACACCGCTTTTCTCCGGTCTACCTCCGAAAGCAGCACCTCCAATTCACATTCTGTTCAAAGTTTCTCTTTTTGCTTGATTTTGCCGTTGCTTTTTCGTTCGGTTTTGCCATTAGCATAGTCATTAGCATATTCATACGGGGGAGGAGGCAGGGAGGGGTTTTGTGCTCGTGCATGTTGCGCTCAGTTTCACGTTCATTCAGATGTACAAAAGAATATGCATGAGATTCGGCGTACGCAGTGTTTCATACATCTGAAATTTTTTCTGCGTACGCACATTTACAGCTTTGTGCGTACGCAATGTTTTAGTAAGATTTCCACGCAAGTCTTCGTACATGAGGCCCCAGGTGCACACCAGTAATATATTTTTTCTAAGGGCTTTTTTATAAATGTGACTTAAATAGTGTAATTTAACTAAGGCCTAGTCCTGGCCTAATCTAAGCCCTGTTTGTGCAACTGGGCCGTGAAGTATTAAATTGTTGAACTGTAATGAATGCTGTTCAAACTAAAGTGCTACTACTGTTCAGTATGGAACAGAAATATAAACTCTTCTGAGAGTGACTACATGTAGATGCACCTTTTGTAGTACTTCTCATAGGGTTAATTTGGAGATGTTAGTCGTTTAAGTTGTGTGAAAATCTGTGACTTGTCTGCAGATGCTCTTGTTTTTCTAGAACAGGCATCGGTGGATATCTAGAAAAGACTTTTAGCGCCATCTTGTGGTGAAATATCCATTTGTGTTTGTGATTTTACTACTGGAGCTTGTGGTTTTGTAAGAGGCACTTTTTTTGTTGAGCACTGCTATATCAAGCTACAAAACTGATGATTTTTGCTTGAAAAGTGTAGATTTGAGGACATTTTTTTGATTTGAGGACCATGATTTTTCTTAATAATAAATTCGCCCCATGTACTGAGGGTGAAGCATTTTTTCTATTCTGAATAGTGCTGGAAATTAATATTGTTTAAAGTACATTCACACAACTAGCGTACATTTATTTGCACCATAGCCATAACCTGAGCCTTTTGTCTGAAAGCTGTGTGTGTGTGTGTGTCCTACTCTGTTTATTCTTAGTCTTAAAATGACCTGCGATTGTTTCTCTGAGGATGAATTTTACATATTTGGTTGTTGGGATTTTATTGAGTCTGATTTTATTAATGCAATATATTGTATAACGTTTAATACTGACAGAAGGATATATATATATATATATATATATATATATATATATATATATATATATATATATATATGTATATGTATATGTATGAATGTATGTATATATATATATATATATATATATATATATATATATATATATATATATATATATATATGTATATATGTAAGTATGTATGTATGTATGTATGTATATGTGTGTGTTCTTGTGAAATACGAACCAGCTTCTTCAGTACTTTTAATGTTGTATATTTCACATTCCAGTATTTCTTCTGTGTCCGTTTGAATAACTATTAAAATGTTAATATGAACACTCTCTTTGGCTGAATTGTGCCTCAGAAAGGATTCACACGCATTGTGATGCAGCCTCTAATGGGTACAGGACAGGGTATTTTATCATCGATTTCCAAGCAGGCGTCAATGTAAGGGTCCAGCAGGATCATGTTCGGGTACATTTTCTTTATCTTCCTCTCGCTTAGTATGTAAATCTGCCCGTTCACTGTGGCACATCCTGTGAAGAATTTGTTATCCAGGCAGTCCTCTTGAAGAACGGTCCACTCGTCTGTGTCGACGTCTAAGCGCAGAGTCTGTCCTCCAAGTAGATAGAGGGCGCCATTGAGCTCGGTTGCAAGAAGGTCATAGCTGGAAAAAAAATGCATATGTCTCTAACAAGATACTCAAGCCCTGTTCAGATTACACAAGTTCATTCCTAACATTGGCATGATTTGCTGGACGTAGGCTGTTTTGGGGATTCGTAAATGACCAATTGTCATCAGGACACAGGATTCAATATTTTTTTTTTAGTCTCTGAAGTTGTGGTCACACTAGAGTTTGATAATGTGAAATTCTGTCGTACAGCACTGCGAAAAGGGGCGGGATTAAACAAGATGATTACATTAAAAGAAGCAGGCTTGTTTTAACTTTCTGTCAAGAGAGGTCATGTTTTGATCCTTGATTGGTCTCACGCAGTCACGTGATACGATTTCGAAAGCTTGAACTTTGCACCGCAGCGACCTGTGGAACTTGATGCATGACCTTTCATTTCCGGTCTGACACATTCGCGTGTGTATGAATGCAAGTCTATAGGGAGAAAAGTGCAGTGTGGCCGAAGCTTAAGACTGGGGTGACCAACCCTGTTCCTGGAAATTTACCTTCCTGCAAATTTCAGTTGCTACCCATATCAAACACACCTGCCTGTACTTATCTTATGCCAGTCAGGTCCTAATTAAAGGGTTCAGGTGTGTTTGATCATGGTTAGAGCTGAACTCTGCAGGAAGGTAGATCTCCAGGAACAGGGTTAAGCACCCCCTGCTCTAAGGGGTTTCAAGTTTTGTTATTTGTTTAACTTAAATGAAAATATTTATAAGAAAGTTGGAATCTGGTAGCTATTGACATCCATAGTAGGGAAAAAAATTATAATGCTGTGTGTGCTATGCCAAAAATACTAGTGGTGGGCAAAGCGAGGCTTTGTGAAACACTGAAACAGTCGAAGCAAATGTGTCGAAGCTTCGAAACGTTTCGAAACCCTTTCTCTACAGTGACATCTAGTGGTCATTTTTTATGTATTGCACTGAAACAGCTTCAGCAAAGAACAGTTAAACAAATTGAGGCATTAAACCCCACTTTGTATGCTTGGTCCTTCAATTAATTTAGTACAGTGGTTTAGGTGTCAGTCTACCATGTGGGGATAGTAGGTTCGAAGCCAGCCTGATACAGTTGTTTTGAAATGCTTAAATACCAGTTGGTAATGCTTTGCTCTTGTATCGTTTTGTTTCAACATTAATCTGATATTCGAATAAACAATTTGTGAATAAATATGTCTTGTTTTGGTCTTAAAACAGGGTTGTTGCTAGATCAGAAACGGTGGCCTGAAGTTATCAAGAATTATTTATATTATTCATTAAATTTCCCATTTATAGTATTTTAATTATGTCCACCTAAACCCAACCATACTGTAAAAATATTTATTATTGTTTTACATTGTTACAAAAATGATGCTAAATTGATGGCGTAACTGCAGCTGTATCCTATTTAGGCTACACAAAACAGAAACATGATTAAAATACATAAAACCATGATTTCGGAGTATTTGTACAAGTCGGGAAACTCATGCAGAGCATAGAAACAGCATGCACACGCACAGTCCACTAGGCCATATGAGACAAGAGTTTTTTTCTTGACCTTGGCAGTCAAATGCAGATTCACCAGGTCTCGAAACGTTTCTAAGCTGATCGATACTTTGAATCGCTTTAGTCACGTGACTAGGTGTTTTGAAAAACTTTAGTCACGTGACTTGGGAGCTTCGGATCATGCTTCGGTGCAGTGTTTTGAAACACTTGCGCTTCGGGATCTCGACACTGTGTCGAAACATCAGTTTCACGTCAGCCATCCCTAAAAAATACTATGCGAGTCAATAGCTACTGATTTCCGACACACTTCATAATACCTTCTTTTGTGTTCAACAGAAAACATTCAGAAAAGTTGTGAGTACGTGATGACAGAATTTTCATTTTTGAGTGATCTATCTCTTTAAAACAGGAGCAAGTAACCAGCCCTCAAGGTCTGAAGACTTTGGATAGATTTCAAGTTGTATGCTATTGGAAATGGAATCAAACACTGTTGATAAGTAGACCTTGAAGGGCTCTAAAGCAGGGGTCTCAAACTCAATTTACCTGGGGGCCGCAGGAGGCAAAGTCTGGGTGAGGCTGGGCCGCATAAGGGATTTCACAAAAAAAAAAGTCCTCAAATGTCATTATTAACAGTTTTAATTATTTCTACTGAACATAAAGTGTCCTGAACATTAATAAAACATTGAGTGAAGATTATGAACAGTTCTTCTGAACATGGCATCTTTTGCCTAATTCTTGCTGCCAGAGACTTGACAGCGCTTCTTCTCACAAATCTGAACCACATTTGGCTTTAGAGCGGAAGCAGTTGAGACCCTCAGTATGGCATGAAGATGATCATCATTAAGTCTAGACCTGTACTTTGACTTATTGAAGTTCAAGGTGGAGAATAACTTCTCACACAAATATGTGCTCCCAAAAAGGCACATGGTCCGCTTGAACCCTACTCCAGTCACATCAGTCTGTACCAGTCTGTATACTGTATCTACCTATAATATATATAAGATGCAGGCTGTAGCTAGGTAGGTGGCAGGCTGCAGATAGGTAGCTAAGTGGGAGGCACAATGGCGGGAACAGCTTACCTTGGTTCTGGCCGGCGCGAGTTCCCTCCTAACACTTCCCGCCCGTCACAGCGTCTAACAAAGGGGCGTGGTGCGTGGTGACGTCACCGGCATCCCCGCCCCTTTATTTACACGGTGGGCGGGGAATGCCAGTGACCGCTGTGTACGGATAGAATCAGCGGAGCGGGGAGCGCTCTCTCTCCCCTCTCCGCTGATTCTGTCAGTTTACAGCGATCGGCGCGGGCCACAAAATATTGCACTGAGGGCCGCAAATGGCCCGCAGGCCGCGAGTTTGAGACCCCTGCTCTAAAGCATGTTGGACACACGTGGACACAATTGCTGTACTTGCCGTGGGAATGGAGAATAGGACACCACATCCCATTGATCGTCTCGTGGCCTGTACCTCTGAATCCCACTGTAAACATCTCCATTTTCATCCAGACCACAGGCCACATAAATTGAAGACCCCAGAGATACAATGGCTGCTCTTTCTACAGCCCGCACCATGGGGCTGACCTCATCCCATTCTTCTGCTCCAAGCACCAGTCTTTCAACATCGGCCACCGGTCCTTCATCCATACTACCGCCAAACACGAACAGCTGAAAGTCCAGAGCTGCCGAACAGTGGCTGTGTCTGGACTTCTTCATCGCTGGACCGTCAACCCATCGATTGTTGCCATGCTCATAAATGCTCACCCAGTCCACGCTATACCACAACACATCCCGGAAGTAGCCTCCAGTCACTACTATGTTGTCCCCTTTGAGCAAAAAAGAAAAAAGGTAAGACTAAAACCCTCTCCCTGGTAAATTGCTGTAAAATTATTAGTATGACTTTACTGGTAATTTTTTAAAAAATGCTGTTCGCACAGAGCAGATTTCAGGCAATTTACTGGTAATGTTACACTTTCTCTTTCTGGGCATTTGTTTGTAAAAAGGGCCTGTTCACTCCTGATTTTGTCACTGCCATTTACTGGTAACTTTCCAGAAATATCTGTGTGAAAAGGGCTAATGATGATGGAGTGTGTATTTGGAGATCAACATTTGTGCAAAGATCTGGACTCAAACAGTCACTCGATAAGTACAGGTATAGATTGAAGCAATGCTGAAACCAACCTCTCAAGTTCTCTCAAGTAAATCTCAAGAAACAAGATTGGTCAACTTTGACTTGAAACGTTCATTCTGGGAAAGGCATGCAACACCTCATGTGGAATCAAATAACAATCAAATGGAATGGAACCATGAAATCAGTGTAAGTTCACAATTCTACCTCACAAAGTTTTCATTTGGGCCTATTCCGCTGTGGTGATCCCTGACAAATAAGGGACTAAGCCAAAGGAAAGTGAATGAATGAATGAAATTTTCATTTGCATGGAGTAATTAATATTGGAGTCAGATTACAAGGTTTCTGCACATGTACAAGGTGTCTGCACACAACAAATGTTTTATTGATTTATTTATAGATAAATAATATAGATTGGTTTATCTAGAGTAAGAGTTTTGAGAGTTGTTTAGACCTTGAAATAAAGTAGCGTAGTTGGCCAAATAAAGCAGCTACAGCACTGCACAGTTCGAAACCGAGGCAGAGTCATATTGATTCGACGACATTATATTCCAAACAAAATATGAAGCCAATCAGTTGGTTCTTGTCACGTGACTCGCAGTGCGGCATTCTGAAAAGTTAGGATGTTTTCAGCTGGGGACACCTGGAATACACAATCGCGTCGTGCTGCAGTTCTTACTCATTTTGTAGACCACTGCTCTAACAAGTATCTGCTCTGCGAGCACCACGCACCACTTTCTCTAGTTTTGCACCAATTGAATTGATTTTTATCAGCCGTTGACGCAATGCACTAAAGTAAACATTTACAGCGCTTTGATTTGTAGGCTTTAGAGAACAGCCAATGCTGATCACATTGGTGTTATCGTACGCATCAAATTCATTACTCAGTGATTCCTCCGCGTACCACTAGAAGTAAGCCAGCGTACCATTAGTGGTACACGTACCCCAGTTTGAGAACCACTGATCTAGAGTAAGCGTTCTGAGAGTTGTTTAGACCAGGGCTGCTCAACCCTGTTCCTGGAGATCTACCTTCCTCCGAGGTTCAGCTCCAAGCCTGATCAAACATACTTGAATCAATTAAATAGGACCTGGAAAGCACTTGATAATTACAAACAGGTGTGTTTGATAAGGGTTGCAACTGAAATCTGCAGAAAGGTAGATCTCTAATGCTGCGTTCACACCAGACGCGACACGCGCATCAAGCGCAAGTGATTTACATGTTAAGTCAATGCAAACGCACGAATAGAAATCCTGCAGCACGATACGCGCGAATGGCATTCGACTGAGGGTGATTGAACAATTGAGCGTTTTGCGCCTTTGACGCGCTTAATGAGCGTTTCACGCTAATCTCTCGATTCCGAAAATCTGAACTTCAGCGTACATTCGCGCCGCGTTAACCAATCAGAAGCTTGCTCTTGTGGGGGCGTGATTGTGACGTAGAACCTGTTGTCGGTGTTCCGAGGGAAATCCTCCAGCCTTCACCGACAACAGTTCATCAAACTCGGCTTGGCTCAGTCAGAAGCACCGCTGAAAGCCTCCGTCATCCAGGTTAAGTTTCTGGAGGAGTTTATGAGCTCACAGAGCTGGATGCACCTCTGAAAGAATGTAGTGGACTCAGACACGGCCCTAAACGTATCGACGCTGTTTTGCAGTCTCCATAAAGCACATAAACACTGTTATTTTCTTCATAAAATCCATGTTAGCCATTTAGCTATGAAGCTAGAGTCTTCGGGCAGACAGAAGCCCTGCCCATCACGCAAATCCACGTCTGTTCTGATGTGAATTTGTGGGTTTGACGCGCGTATGAAGCGAGTAAACTTAAATGTTCACGCAGCTATTTACACGCGAATAGCGCGTTTTATTCGCGCATTCCGCGTCTGGTGTGAACACAGCATAAGAATAGGGTTGAGCACCCGTGGTTTAGACAATTTAGAGCCACTATAGTAGTGAAAGGCATCTGTTTAGCATCAGTTAAGTTGAATGGACACAATATTTCCTCATTATTTTTCGTTTTTGAAGAGAGGAAAAAACGAGCATCACTGCATGAACATACTAGTATTATAGTATTGTGCCCCTCCCCCCAAAAAAGTATTTATTGATACAAATCGGACTCATTGTGCAAGGACGAAAGTTTTTTGTGCATGAAAATTTTTAGGTTTACAACAAAACACAAACAATATTTTCAAACTCAGTATGCAAAAAACAGCATAAAATATCTTGTAAGAGGTTGTTACCTACTGCAGCCACGGAGTACTGTGTGAGACACTTCTTTTGCAGGGGTGGATGTGCCTGCCACCTTCCACTGTAGGGATGAAACTGATACAGCAGCTGCGTTTCTTCTTCATGCGGTCCACCGAGAACAAACAAAGTTTCCCTCGAGCGAGTCCTAGGCACAGACCTGCCCATAGTCCAGCTGCTGGGCAAGTTATCGTTCAGCCTACAAATGAGCTTAGCTCGTGGGTCTGAACTGTTGATCTTGGACAGAAGATCAGTGATGTAGGGAAGACTTAAGCACTCGGGCCTAACCAGGCCCACCAGCTCCATGAAGTCTTCTTCCCGACTTGGCTCAAAGGTCGCCCAGCGAAGGGCTACATCAAGGACCAGATCTTCCCTGGGAATGCTTAGGTTGTCGCTAGCAAGCAAATCAGCAATGCTCTCTTTCGAAAGACACAATAAGTCTTCCTCCGAGGCTATGGCGGGCAAGTGTGTCAAGACTACATCCCGGGCTGCTGCGTAAAGGTCCAGACAACCAAGATGCCAAGCATACCCCATCATACCCAAGCAGTTACTAAGATGCAGTTGCCTTTCCAAGAACTTGCAGCAAAGTAACCGAGCCTTGTCGATTTGGAGAAAATCAGCTGCCTCCAAAATATCAAGGACGTTCTTGGTGTCCAGGGTGAGTTTCAAGTTCTTTGTGAACTCCATTAGTGTGTGGAACTGCTGCGGCCCAACTCCCTTAATCTCAATATGCTTCCTGGAGCTCTCCCGACCCCCGCCAAAAAACAAGGCTCGGAAGTAGGGACTCAGTCTTGCCAAACGCTCACGGTTCACAAAAAACGATTCTTCTTCTACTTGGAGCACTACATCAGGTGCAACGTTGACAGCATCTGGATCCTGTTCAGCTACACTTTTCTCTGTATTTGGGCCCTGGTCGAGAGTATTTACTGTTTGTTTTTCACAAGCCATGACTGTGCTTGCTCTCCCGCCACTCACTTCTCCGCTGAAGCATATCAGATGACATTTATATCCTCACCCCAGTCTCTCACTCTGGGTATGGGGTCAGCAAGCAAAGGAAAGCGAGGGCTAAATATATATTGGCTAAAACGCTACAGAGGCCCTGTTTCGATAAGCACACTAAAACCTTTTGTAAATAATTAAAAGTAGGCTACAGCAAGCAAAAATTCTTATTGCTATTAATTGCTAAAACTTTATCATGATGTCTTGTATTATCATCTTGACCTGAAAAAAAATGGTTACTTTAACCGATATAATAATGACCCAAAAAACTGTGTCATTGTTTATACATGGTCATTAATGCTATAAACAAATTAAATTGCAAATTGAAGTACAACAGGCAATACTTTACAATAAAATATGATAAGTAAATGCTAGTGAATAGCCATAATATAGTTAAATGTCAAAGTGAACTAAAAAAAATTGTTAATAACTCCAAATTAACTCTTAATTCTGACTTTTAATGTTTTATTAGACATTAACTTAGAAATTAACATCACCTAAGATTAATTGATACTTTTGTAGTTGTCATTACATTGACTTTAGATAAATTAACTGACGTTAACAGAGTCTTACTGTAAATATTTAAAGAACTAAAGGTCTATAAAAAACGTCACAGAATTTTCAATGTCATAGGCCAGATAAATGTAAAAATGTCAGTGTTTGAAAATAATTTGCCTATTAAGTCTTAAAGAATTTTGGTGCTGTTATGAACAACACTGCTAATACAATAATCTGAACATTATTAAAGGGTACTCTAAATTTAGACATATATAATTATTCCTAGTATTTTGAAGTGTGCAGGATATCGTTATTGTGGATGTTCACTTTCACAATCTATTGAATATTGGCATACGTCTATTTAAAAGTATAATTTTCTAAAATTGAGTTTTATCTATATAACTTCAGTCTTCACATCAGTTTTAAATTCATTTTAATTGAATGCATAATTTGTCCAGGTTAGTACCGCAACTAACCACAAGAGGTAGCTGTTGGACAACTAAAAATTTTCAACCCACATATAATTTTCTTGTATTCAAAAAGTGTATAGTAAACACATACTGCGTAATAATGGTTTAAAAAGCTAGGTTGTGTTTGGTCATTCATGTAATACATTGTGAGTATATGCTGTACAGATCTTTCCCTCTAGCTGAAGTCTAATAATGTTCATTTGTCTAAAATTATTACTCTTTTCTTTTTCCCTAGAGAATTGATCTTCTCTTTTCAAACCAAAAAAATAAATAAAAAATGAGGCCCTGATTTCAAGTACAGCAGTTTTGAATTGTCTTAAATTCATTGAGGGTGAAACGGTTTCTCAAAAGATTGCTTTCTCCCCGTCGGGGAATCGAACCCCGGTCTCCCGCGTGACAGGCGGGGATACTTACCACTATACTAACGAGGAGTAAGTTGAAACAACTAGCAATAGTTGGTTATTAGAACATACAACTTGAATTTTTAAGCTTTATATACTTCTATATTTAATGAATGTGATTTTAGCCCTGAATTGAAATCTAAAAGAAAAAAAAAAAAAAATTTTTTTGTACTGAAACACAAACAACAAGTAAGCTCAACAGTCAAAAACAACAAAAATCAATGAAGTGAAAATGTTTTTTTTTCTCAATTATTATATATTTCACCTTACTTTTCTATTATTTATTTTCACTTCAGAACTTTTCTCTCAAAAAACATAAAAAAAAACTTTAAAAAATTTATCTCAAAATCTGTTCTGTTAAAAACATTTCCCTCAAAAACTGTTCTCATAAAAAATCCTCTCAAAAACCTGTTTTTCTTTTAAAAATATTTCTAAAAAAAAACTATTACCCCTCTCTTTTCAAAACCCTTTTCTCTTTTTAAAACCTTTTTCTACCAGAGAGCAACACGAGAGAAAAAAATATGGCTAACATTAGCATGCAGTACCAATCTCAACCAAAAGATGTCACTATCAGTATACAGGAATTCTGCTTAACCTCTGAATTGGTGGGACTTTTTATTTTTTAGAACATACTTAGTTTTTTCTGTCTAAACTTGTCTTGTCAAACTATATATTAATAGAGTATACAATTTTCAAGTGTGAATTTTCTCAATTTATAATGTTTATAAGTTACAAATCTTATGGCACTGGTTGTCATTACAACAGCTCATAACAGAGCAATCCTCAACAACTCTAAAGTGTCATAAATGCCATGATTAGATTTCTCCAAAACTGCAGTGATATCAAATTATCATAAGAACTTTCTATTAGTGTCATTTTTGTGGATCCATTTCTAATTAAAGAAACCAGATAACCCAAAGCTCTGAGACTTCGTTGAAGCTTTTTAAAAGCAATTTATTTCACACACCACTGAAACAATACATTCATAAACCACTCAGCAAACTCTTTTGCGGTGATGCACTTAAGACCAAACTCTTATACACGTTTTCTTTCTTCACACATCAACTCCCTCAAGACGAACAAAATTATACAAAATGCTGAAATGAAAAATCAAAACTGCATCACATGTGTAAACAGGACGCCTGTACCTGTCAAAACACCCAAAACATTTTCAAACGCAATCCATAAAAATAGGCCTATCCTTCCAGCACTATACAAACCAATACCATAGGAGCAGCACACATCATTTATATAAGAAAATATATATGCATTCTGCAACCACTTGAAGCATTGCACTGTGATGCTTGCAGATATATCTGTAATGTTGTCCATTTCCAGTTTCTGATTATGTTTGGCACTGTTAAGTTTACAACAGACACCAACACAACACTGTTTACTCCTTCACTTCAATATGTACAAATATTCAAGGACTAGTTCACCAAAAATAACAATTTAAAACATCGTTTACTTGCCCGGGTGTTGTTTAATTGCCGTATGAAGTTCCTCAAGTACCACACGAAGGGAATTGTTTTTAAAATCCTGTCACTCGCTCGTCCACATAATAAATATTTTTTTTAAAGACGCAAATGTATTAGAATGACTCCACGCGAGACGTGTCGAATATTTTAATACTTGTTTAAGTATACGACAAGGTTTACTAAAAAACAAACCGAGATTTCTTGTATTATTTGAGGAAAAACCACCGTGCCCGTCAGTGTGACTGCGCGTTCACGAGACCCTGAGCGCGGCAAATCACTAAAACTAGCCGGAGTTTTGATAATCAAAAGGAGTAAAAAGCTGACACAAAACACAATTTATATACCGTGTTCTTACTTCGTCTGAAGTTAATATATCCGTGGTTTTCGTCGCAAGGCAGCGTATTCACCTGTCAGCTGCCTTAGTTTTTTTTCTTCGTTCTGGAGATAATCATCTCTTTGACTAAACGCAGATGTTTTTCGTCTCTTTCTAGGATGATTTTCGTCGGTTTTTAAGCTTTGTACGTTGTACTCAAACTCACATTAATCCATCTTCGCGGTGCACTGTTTGCTATTTCTGAGGCGGAAAGACGCGCGCTCTTCTCGTGAACGCACACTTACAGAGAAACGGTCAAAATCAGTATTTCCGTTAAACGGTAGCCTAATTCGGTCTTATTTTTACCAAACACTATCGTTTATCTCTTGAAAGCGTATAATACACGGCACGGGATCGTTCTGTCATTTTTAATAGCTTATCCAGCTCATTTTGAGGAAAAGGAAATCAGTGAATTTTAACACCTGGGTAAGTAAACTTCCATTTTAAATGTTCAGATAAACCAACTCTTTCAAATGACACATATGCATATTTTCATGAGGTTTCAGAGACACTCGACCACATTCAGTTGCTTCACTACATAAAACACAGCCTACCACTGTTGCAGCATTTCGGGCTCCATACAAAACCGACTCTCAATCAGTTTCTACTGCACACTGAACTGGTTTGACATGGGAAATATAGACAGTAAACATAACTTGGACTTAGTTTTATAACTGGATTGTCACATCTCAACTCGCCTATCAATGATGTCTGTCAGTGTTGTAGACATAACTGACAATTCTGTCTTAGAGCATGGGTTTAAAAACACCAACATTAGGTTTATCTCTATTATGAATGGTATAACATTGAACAATTAGTGTAGTTTGTTGGCATCAACTAAACAAAAGTTCTGTTTTATCTAGCAGACAGATATATGCATAAAAATGATTTAAAAATATGTAACATGGCATTCATTTTCTAAGAGTAGATGCCATATTTAATGGGATAGTTCACCCAAAAAAATCAAATAAAAATTACTCGCCCTCAAGTGGCTCTAATGTTTCTTCTTTTTTTTTAATTGAACACAAAAGTCGTTGAAACCGGTAGTCACTGATGTCAAGAGCATATTAAAGAAATACTATGGAAGTCAGTGGTTACTGGTTTCCAAAATGTTTTGAAATGATGTTTGTGTTCAATATAAGAAAGAAACTGAAACATGTTTGGCTGATCGGAGTGTAAATAAATGATGACAGAATTATTAATTTTGGGTGAACTATTTCTTTATTTTAACGTCGGCTAAACAAAATGAAAAATAACTACTCCACTGCAGAAAACCAAACAAAAATGGGCTGTGAAATGATGAAAGTCAATGTTATAGGCGAGAAACTCTAAATGGCAACTAAATAGAGTTAAAAGGATCATTAATACTATTATTAATACTGCAATCGAAAAAATTATGTTGCATAATTATTCCAGTGGAGAAAAATGCAAAACAAAAAATGGTTTACAAAAAATCATATGCTGAAAAGTTGTACATCTATTCCTCAAAAAGTAATTTTCGTCGGTGATTAACTAAATTTGCCATCTACCTTGACTAAATCATCTCGAAAAACGTGAAATGAATGATGATGTGTTTTTTTGGCAGGGTTTTAACTGCGATAAATAAAACCTCAATCGACACAACGCATTAATAGCAGCAGAATCCAGACAGACAACAGACTCCTCATCGCAGAGGATCGGCTATATATCTATCAAAATAAAAGCTGTGCTGATTTAACGTCACATCATGGCTTCAGTTTAAACTCCATGACAATCATCATGGAAGACCAGTCGACTTCCTACTTGTTCACATTCAGACTCACACACACACACACACATGTGGCCTAGAGGTTTCACTTTCTCCGCCGTCATAACGTTCATTCGTCGTCAAAGTTCTGCTGAAGCAGAAAGTTTGCCGCGAGGTTCTCGTTCTTCTCGCAGGCGAAGTACGCTTGAATGACGAGACCTTCAGGAAACCCCAGAGCTTTTAACTGGAGGAAAAAGATAACATGAATTTAAGATTGTGCAAAATATTCAGACTATTTAAAGTTTTAGACAATTTTCATTACTTTAAATAGAAGTTATGCTAACACAATGCCATTAATACAATTATAGTAATTTATACACAATTGTAAAAACCTATTTGGGCGAGGCAAAACCAAATAATTTGAACGTAAGAGTAAAAACATAAGTGAATTATTCTTAATGTTTTTCTCTCATGTAAATACATTTATATATTTATTATATGAATAAAAAAAACATAATATTTAGAGTTATTAATTTAATGCAACTATTTAAGAAACATTATTTTCAACTGACAAACCATAAAAACAAAAAAAATACATGTTAATTGGAAAAATAATAATTTAGTATTGGTAATTTCATATGTATTTACATAAGAAAATTAGGGCTGTCCAATGATTGAAAAAACTAACGTAATTAATCATATTTTTTTGTAATTAATCATGATTAATCACAAAACCCCGTATTTATTACAGAAATAAAAACACAGGCATGTAAGTGCCATTTGAATTTCAAAACAATCAATGCCAATAACAGACAAAAATGATTTGCATGTTGGATTCTAAGTCGACTACACACACACACACAACGCGCGCAGTGCAGCGCACACAGTGAGTGAGGAATCCCTTCAGATTCATCAACACACACGATTGCGTTCATCAAATTTGCTTAAACTGAGCTTACTAAAGTATGGCTGTATTTTACAAGCAAGGATTCTGACACAGCAACGTGAATCAGACGCTTTACAAAAGTTGCATGTAGGGGGAAACACGTCAAACCAATGAAATGTGAGGGCTCATGGAAGCAGCTTAAAGGCAGAGAATACGGCTGTCTCTGACAGCTTGCAACTTCATCAGCCATTTTCACTGAGTACATTTACATGGACACCAATCCTCCGCTTTTATGATTAAGATAATATTGATTAAGAGTTTACCATGTAAGCAGTGATTTTTTGATTATCTTAAAAGATCACGCAAGTCCCGAAATGCGAACGTTTTTCTTTCCGTTCGCCATGCGGTATCAAATTCCATTAAAACATCCTGAATGAAAATCTGCTAAATGAGAGTGAACTGCTGAACTGCAGTTAAAGTCTAAAGATTAAAAATGGAGCACCCGAAATCCCATGAAACTCTGGAGGAAACGCAGGCACATTAATTGTTTTATACTAAAACTTTCCTTCTAAAAGCGCATCCTTTTTCTTATCTAAATTTCTTTGCACGTTAAACACACGGCGGGCTGGAGCAAGCTGAACTGGAGCACTAGGCAAACGGCAATCACGCCGCCCTCAACCCGAAAGTGACTGGTTCGCAGATGAAAGTAGGATGGTGAGGGAGGGGGTGGGTGTAGCGGATGAAAGTGAGCCCCGGGGGTTTGCGTACTATTCTGCTGCTCAAGGCGGCCTAAGTCGCCTCCATGCTTGCGATGCTCACGATGTCCGTGAACACACGTCAGCCACAACAGGAAATAAAAAAAGCTGCAACTGCGTTATTTTTTTAATGCGCTAAATATTTTATATTAATCACTTGCGTTAACGCGATAATTTTAACAGCCCTGAAAAAATACATATTTTTCTTTTCTCTTTCCCAAAATTGCACTACTGTTAACATGCAACTCTAAAATAAACCATGCATATTCTTAATAATAATTTTCTGCACATATTTCCAGTTGTATTTCATTATATATGTATATAAACAATTGTATTATTTTAGTTTTATTTCTTATTTTAAACTGTCAGTGTTTTTTATGGATTTCCATTTCTACATTTGCCCAAAATTAAACTATAAAAATAACGTAGTGTTAAAAACACAGAAAGGTCTTCATTGTAGCTATAATTGTTATTTCGGACAACATAAGTATGTCACAATACTAGACTTAGATATTAATCAACACTGAAATTTTAAAACTGTCCATTTCCGGCTAACATTTTAGCGTGTCCTTAAACAGTGCTGCTTTGCCGTTGTTTACGTGCTCAATAGAAATGACTGTCTGTGAAGGTCATCAGCTCACCGAACCCACCGCTGTTTACTGAGTGTAACCACAGATACTGGGACACTGGAGCGTTTTAGTCACATCAATCAGCTGGTTTGTCTATAAGCTGACATACGAGTGATTCACTGATGAATCAGCTTTAAAATGCTCCAGTGTCCCTACTCCGTAAAGACCAGTAAGTTTGGGGAACTGATGACCTTCATGGCCAATCACAGTCATTTCTGTTGAGCATGTGATCACAATGGCAAATCAGCGCTGTTAAAGAACACACTCAACAGCGCTCAAATGTTAGCGGGAAATGGACGTGTATAAGATTTCAGTATCGATTGGAACCGAATTCCAGTATCTTGACAACACTAGTAGTTTTTATTTAAATAAAAATATAAACTTATTTTGTTTCCAAGTTGCTTTTTTTTACATTTTATACCTAATTTAAGCAACATCAACCACACCAAGAGCTAGTTAAATTCACTATTTAATATCAATGTCATGAATATTTCAGAACTGATTGTACCCTCTCGATGGCCTCTTTCTCCTGGGGTGTGACCTGTATGTAGTTGGTCTGTGGTGCAGCGGGAGCTTCAGCTTCAGGCTCGTTCAACATCTGCACAAACCGCTCCTGATGCTGCGTGATTTGCTGCATATATAGAAAGAAACAACTAAATTCAGCAAAGCACATCCTGGAGTGTGCAACAGTAGCTATGTTTTCATCCAAAGTTGCTAATTAAATTTATGCGCAAAAGTTGAATATCGCATAAAAGACGTGCGAATAAAGTATCGTTTACATCCAATGAGTCGAAGAGAACAAAAATGTCACTTCCTGATTAACTGGTGCCAAATATCAAAAGTAAAAATGGAATTTATTGCGGTAGGAGAAGATGAATGAATTTTTTCCTTATTTAATAAATGACTTGCGGCTCAGAAGACAATATCGACACGCAATGAACACGTGATTGCATTTGAAGACGTCAGGCGCAGAGCACAGACTCTCTTGACAGTTAGATAATTATTAATATAACAACACAAATACTGAAATGTTTAAGGCGTTTTAGAATAACTAAGACAACGTTTTAGATGTTTTACAATGTGCACACACATTTTTATCATCACGTGATCTCTTATAACAAAATCACATGACCTTTTTTTTCTCCGATGTGCAAACTAGAATTTGTTCGGTTTCCATCTCAGTTTATGCGCAAAATAAGATAAAAATAGATAAAAATTAGTGGATGGAAACATGGCTAGTGTGTTAAAAACTCAAACAGGAAATTAATTTGTGACGTTTAAATTCAATCAAGTCTGTGTGAGCCTGAAGTTAAAAAGAGACTTTCATTGTAGTTTTTTGATGTATAAAATATCTGAAACCCAATAGAGTAAAACCACTTGCTTGTAGTTAAGATTGCTCTATTGGTTGGGTAGGTTATTTGTGGGGCACAGTCTATGCTCTACATGTGGGCTCAGTGCTCTGTGGGGTGGAATCTGTATACAATTGGGCGGGTCAGTGCTCTGTGGGGCAGAGTCTGTGCTCTATTGAATGGGTCAGTGCACTATTGGTTGGGTCAGTGCTCTATTAGATGGGTCAGTGCTCTATTGGTTGGGTCAGTGCTCTATTAGATGGGTCAGTGCTCTATTAGATTGGTCAGTGCTCTATTGGATGGAGTCTGTGCTCTATTGGTTGGGTCAGTGCTCTATTAGATGGAGTCTGTGCTCTATTGGATGGCGTATGTGCTCTATTGGATGGAGTCTGTGCTCTATTGGATGGAGTCTGTGCTTTATTGGGTGGAGTCTGTGCTCTATTAGGTGGAGTCTGTGCTTTATTGGGTGGAGTCTGTGCTCTATTAGGTGGAGTCTGTGCTCTATTGGGTGGAGTCTGTGCTCTATTGGATGGGTCAGTGCTCTATTAGATGGAGTCTGTGCTCTATTAGATGGAGTCAGTGCTCTATTGGATGGAGTCTGTTCTCTATTAGATGGAGTCTGTGCTCTATTGGATGGAGTCTGTGCTCTATTGGGTGGAGTCTGCTCTATTGGGTGGAGTCTGTGCTCTATTGGATGGAGTCTGTGCTCTATTGGATGGAGTCTGTGCTCTATTGGATGGAGTCTGTTCTCTATTGGTTGGGTCAGTGCTCTATTAGATAGAGTCTGTGCTCTATTGGTTGGGTCAGTGCTCTATTAGATGGAGTCTGTGCTCTATTAGATAGAGTCTGTGCTCTATTGGTTGGGTCAGTGCTCTATTAGATGGAGTCTGTGCTCTATTAGATGGAGTCTGTGCTCTATTAAATGGAGTCTGTGCTCTATTGGATGGAGTTTGTGCAGACCAGCAGTCTATGGGGTGGCATTTGTTGTCTAGAAGTGGTGTAGATGCTCCATTGGGTAGAGTCAGTGCTCTGTGGACAGGATCATTGCTTAGCTCCGCCCACCTGCAGAAGTTGTGGGTTGTCTCGGCCGAGCTGCTGCAGCAGTGCAGGCAGAAGCGATGGGTTCTGCTGGATGATCTGCCGCATCTGTTGAAACTGCGGCTGGTGCCTCAGGAACTCCAATGGGTTTGCAGATGCCTGCGCACCGCCAGACTCTGCACCTGTTCACAGGACAGAAAAAGCTAGATCTGAGACTAAAACTAGAGAGAAGCTAAAGAAAAAAAAGTATTTTCTTTGTTTTGACCGCACTGTATTGCATAATATGCTGTAATTTATTTTGTTTGTTCTGCATTCGTAGTTTATAGGCATAAAGAGGTTTGAAATACAATATCTGCTATCAATATTGCATGAAATAGATAAATATGTCAATATGTGCTGTGCTGCACACTTTTATTTTAGTAACAGTGTAGTTCAGAAAGCATCTGATGAACTATATAAGTCAGCTACACAGTGTTTGGTTTTTAACTCGAGCATATCTGACCTCATTGGACTTAACATATTAATGAAAAAAGTAAAAAAAGGCAGAGGTTATACACTTGAGAATTCAATGCCATTTACAAGATAGAGATTTTCTGGACATTTTTCTGTTTTATTATTTTTTTGGAAAAAAACTGTTTGTTCATCAATTTCAGAAACACTTGAATAAACAAAATGTAAAATAAATCATAAAAACACTACATTAACTACAACAAAAATATTTATTAAAGTTTTAGTTTTAATAGTTTTCTCTGTGAAACTTAAACTGTGAATTACTTTAGAAGATTTTGAGCTAATTTTAAGTCTTAAACTTCACGAGTTAAAATGCAGTTCATATTTTTGTCTATTTTAGACAATAATTATTTGTTTTCATATTTTTCCCCCAAGTGCAGACTATTGGCAAATTGCAAGGAAAACCTTTGGGAGTCTATCTGTACACTACTGTATCCACAAAAGTTGAGCTTTTTCAAAACACATCTATGCATTGTAACCTTGCATGCACAATTATGAGCCAAAATGGGGGAAATCCACCACATTTTAAAAAGAAATAAATAGTTTAACCAGCTTTTCAAGCAGTTTTAAATCAAATGTGGGTCAAATGGACTCTGAAAACAATAAAGCCGGGGTCACACTGCACTTTTCGCCCCATAGACTTCCATTCAAACCCATGTTTGACAGGTTTTGCATGTCGCTGCATTCAAAAGTTCAAGTTTGGTGAACTCTGATCTGCAATTTCACATCATGTGAGACAAGTAGAAGATCAAAACATGACCTCTTTGTACAGAAATGCGAAACATGGTGCAATTGCTTGCTTTATCGATGTCTAATCATCTTGTTTCATCCCGCCCTTTTCGTAATGTCCCACAACAGAATTTCAAATGTTAATATTCTAGTTCAAGGGTGTCAAATTCAGTACCTGGAGGGCCACAGCCCTGCAGATTTTAGTTCCAACCCTGCTTCAACACACTTACCTGGGGTTTTTAAACAAGCCTAAAAGACTCAATTAGTTTGATCAGGTGTGTTTAATTAAGGTTGGAACTAAACTGTTTAGAACATCAGCCCTCCAGGAACTGTGATTGACACCTGTGCTCTAGTGTGACCGCGGCAAACCCATCAAATTCACAGCTTTTAACACTATTTATTAGAGTCAAATAATGTTTGATGAGCAGAAACAACAATGATCAAATTTCCCAAACTTAGATAATCCACTCATGGACAAATACTCAAGACTCTATCAGCTGTGCAACTGAAATAAAATTCGCTGAATGAGCAGGAATGCAGCAGCTGCTGGACAAACACTGTCCTGAACTCATGTGGACTCACCGGCGGCGGCAGGTGGAGGCTGAGCTCTCTGTGGTGCTGGAGGAGTCGGGTTGGACGAGGGTGTGGGTCGAACTACTTCCTGTGGAGGCTGCTCTGACTCTGCTGGAATACCCTTGAAGAGCAGAGATTTCATATTTCAGTGATTTATTAAGAAATTAAGTTGAACCCATTGTCTATATCCTTTATGTAATTTACTGGTGCATTAGAACTCAATTAATGAACTATTATTATTATAAAATATGCATTACTAAATTTACCTAATAATATGTAATTATTATAGAATATACCATAATAAATTGAATACAATGTTGATTTTATTATGATTTAACAATATTATTATATTTAATACAATATTTAATTAAAAGAAAATGTACACTTTTCTTCTTTTTACAAAATAACTACATGAGCATTTTTATCACACAAACATTAAATCTGTAGCATATTTTTATGTTTTTGTAAATAATACTACATTTTTAAAGCAACAACAATTATCATTGTTGTTAATTATGTTACTTTATAAATATTCGCTCAATGGTTTTCATTTTTGCAGGTAAATGTACTTTTTTGATTTACTTATATTTTTTATTTTATCTTTTTCAAATGTTTATATGAATGTTATATATATTATATACTAACATAATTTTGCATAATACATTTTTTACTCATTTTAATTACTGGAATTATCTTTTTAGCATAGCTATTTCGTGCTAAATGGTGCAAATTAGTTTAAATTTCTTCAAATTTCTTTCTTATATTTTTTACCATCTTTTTATAATATGGGATACATTTATTAATATTTTTTGGTAAATATTTTTTCAATTAAAAAACAAAACTAAATGGATTCAATATAAACGCAAATGTTGCTAAAAAGTCTACAGAAATGTTCCACATTTCAAGTGAAAATTGACCAGAAACATCATTTAATGTTGACTAAGAAATACTATAGTTTCGTTAGTATTTTTTTCCCATTTTCTGGAAACACTAACAAAACATTTGTTGCTTTACTACAGTAAACAAACAAGTAAGTTACTCTCACCGTAAGTAGGTACTCCACGGCTCTGTCCGGGTTGTTGAAACTTGCTCTTAAAGCAGCGATCACCTGTTCCCTCTCATAACCCATCGACATGATTTCCGTCACCAAATTCTCATACGCTTGACCTGTAACTATAAAAACACAAGTTGACAAATATTAAAGCTTCATTCATCTCCACTGTATCTGGTTTACAGCGGAACTAAAAGCCCAAACATACCTAGTATCGATGCAGCTGCTTCTAAAAGACTCAATTCATCTGTGAGGCTAAACAAAACAGACAACAAATTTAAGCATTTTCAATTTTTTTTTTAAAAATAAAATAAATGTGGGCGTGGCCATACCTGGCCTCTGATTGGGCGATGGCCTGCTCCTCTTGGCCCTGGATCTCCTCTTCTACGACTGGAGCAGGAGTAGCGCTAACGGGTTCAGTTGTTTCTACAGTATCCTCCGATGCAGCAGGGGGCGCTGTGACGGGTGGGTCAATCGGCTCCACTGATGCAGCTGGTTCTACAGGAGCAGGATCAGGGGTCGTTTCAGGCACTATGGAGGCATTAGGAGGCGCAACAGGAGTCGTGGGTTGATGTGTGGGGGTTTCGGACACTGGTACAGGAGTGGGAGTTTGTGGCGACGCTGCAGATTTTGGCTGTAGGGGGAGAAAAACAACTGCACAGAGAACTATAGCCACCAAATTCAAGGCTAGCTAAGTTGTGAAATATTTAAATATGGCAAAAATAATCCTAAATTATGTAGTGTTTCAATTCCATGTGCTTAAGAAAATTAAGTCGACACTTCTTGGAAAAATGGAGCTAAGCATCAACAATAAAAAAAGATTAATTGTTACGATACTTTAATTGGATACTTTAAACGATACTTTAATTGATCCTCAGAATTATTCAACAACAAATTTAAGTAAAATATTTAGTTTTTTTAACATTTTTTGCATTCAGATGATAATGTTGTAAAAAACATCTCCATTAGAGCTGCACGATTCTGGCTAAAATGAGAATCGAGATTTTTTTTGCCTAAATTAAAGATCACGATTTTCTCACAATTCTGTAGATGTAAAATAAAGGTTATGAGTGGGCTATTATTATTGTTATTCTCAAACATGTGGTAAATCAGCAATAGGCTTTGTGTACCTGTACTGTTGGTTAAAATGCTAAATTTTGTATAGACTTGGAATAGTGGACTTGAACAGACTTTAGTTTTGTCCTGGTCATTAATGCTGGTGATAATTCTGATGTTGAATTATTGTGTTTGAGACGTATGCTTACAATCTGTCATTTTTTGCTTTAAATTTGTCACTGACGTGATTTTCGTGAATACAGAAGACTGGGCGGGTTTTGGAAACTTTTTGAGTTGGAATCAGTCAGCTACATCTGGAAACACTGTGTGCGCTTTCGGTTTAATTTTGACTGCTAAGAGCAGTTCACTTCCCGCGCGCCTCCCAAACGATAACTCTGTGCCACAAACTAAACGTTATTTTAAACATTACTACCTGTTATTCATGAATCACAGCCTATGCAGGTTCTGTTCACTAAAGTAGACTTCATTCAGAGGCACGCGCGCCCGATCTCTGTGTGGTAACAGCTGATGGTCATCTCATGTCATGTGTGATTTTGAGGTCGCAAATGCATTACATAAAGACAGAAATGTCATTTTTGGGGTGAAATATATCTTATAAATACAGCATGTGACTCTTTCAACACCATTTGGAGGTGTCCACATTCCTGAACAACGAATGTAAAACAATGTGAAAACTTGCGCGGAAACAATGTGAACAATGTGAAAACTTCCACCATTGCTTCTCTCCTCAATTTGAAAATATGGTTGACAGAATCGTAGAAATGCTGGATTAAGATCGTCTAGGGGGTTGAATCGAGATCGCGATCTTTTTACGATTAATTGTACAGCTCTAATCTCCATGTACACGAATTTGTGAAAATTGCTAATACATTATGCAATACGTGGCAGTAGGCGCACAGTAGATGGACACGTATTGCCGATTTCGAGGATAACAATTTATTTTTAAATCTGTGCTGTCCAAAACATTTCTGTTTGGGAAAAAAATTGTTAAATACATCCAATTGGTCTACTTATTTAATCCAGTTATCCAATCACAAAATCCATTGAAGAGTTTTTGTTTTTTTTGCGCATCTTGAAATTTATCTGTTAATAGTGTTTCTCGCATATTAAGCATTTTATTATGCAATATCATAGCTACTGACTTTGTGAAACAATATACTCAATATACCTAATATAAATAAATCTGAAAAATCTATAAAACCAGAAAGACATCAGAAAGAAGTCAATAGCAATGTTTCCATCCAAAAATGCGAATGAACTTGATGCGCAAAACTGGAATATCAAATAAAAGACATGCGAATAAAGCAGA